GGCACGTGCAGGCGAGTGGTGAGTCGGTGTGTGAAGAACAACTGTGACTTAAGACATGCAGTGCATAAACCTGAAACTGGCTAAGACACACATACCTGCTTCACTGACGAGTGCAGCTCGGGCACGTGCAGGCGAGTGGTGAGTCGGTGTGTGAAGAACAACTGTGACTTAAGACATGCAGTGCATAAACCTGAAACTGGCTAAGACACACATACCTGCTTCACTGACGAGTGCAGCTCGGGCACGTGCAGGCGAGTGGTGAGTCGGTGTGTGAAGAACAACTGTGACTTAAGACATGCAGTGCATAAACCTGAAACTGGCTAAGACGCACATACCTGCTTCACTGACGAGTGCAGCTCGGGCACGTGCAGGCGAGTGGTGAGTCGGTGTGTGAAGAACAACTGTGACTTAAGACATGCAGTGCATAAACCTGAAACTGGCTAAGACACACATACCTGCTTCACTGACGAGTGCAGCTCGGGCACGTGCAGGCGAGTGGTGAGTCGGTGTGTGAAGAACAACTGTGACTTAAGACATGCAGTGCATAAACCTGAAACTGGCTAAGACACACATACCTGCTTCACTGACGAGTGCAGCTCGGGCACGTGCAGGCGAGTGGTGAGTCGGTGTGTGAAGAACAACTGTGACTTAAGACATGCAGTGCATAAACCTGAAACTGGCTAAGACACACATACCTGCTTCACTGACGAGTGCAGCTCGGGCACGTGCAGGCGAGTGGTGAGTCGGTGTGTGAAGAACAACTGTGACTTAAGACATGCAGTGCATAAACCTGAAACTGGCTAAGACACACATACCTGCTTCACTGACGAGTGCAGCTCGGGCACGTGCAGGCGAGTGGTGAGTCGGTGTGTGAAGAACAACTGTGACTTAAGACATGCAGTGCATAAACCTGAAACTGGCTAAGACACACATACCTGCTTCACTGACGAGTGCAGCTCGGGCACATGCAGGCGAGTGGTGAGTCGGTGTGTGAAGAACAACTGTGACTTAAGACATGCAGTGCATAAACCTGAAACTGGCTAAGACACACATACCTGCTTCACTGACGAGTGCAGCTCGGGCACGTGCAGGCGAGTGGTGAGTCGGTGTGTGAAGAACAACTGTGACTTAAGACATGCAGTGCATAAACCTGAAACTGGCTAAGACACACATACCTGCTTCACTGACGAGTGCAGCTCGGGCACGTGCAGGCGAGTGGTGAGTCGGTGTGTGAAGAACAACTGTGACTTAAGACATGCAGTGCATAAACCTGAAACTGGCTAAGACACACATACCTGCTTCACTGACGAGTGCAGCTCGGGCACGTGCAGGCGAGTGGTGAGTCGGTGTGTGAAGAACAACTGTGACTTAAGACATGCAGTGCATAAACCTGAAACTGGCTAAGACGCACATACCTGCTTCACTGACGAGTGCAGCTCGGGCACGTGCAGGCGAGTGGTGAGTCGGTGTGTGAAGAACAACTGTGACTTAAGACATGCAGTGCATAAACCTGAAACTGGCTAAGACACACATACCTGCTTCACTGACGAGTGCAGCTCGGGCACGTGCAGGCGAGTGGTGAGTCGGTGTGTGAAGAACAACTGTGACTTAAGACATGCAGTGCATAAACCTGAAACTGGCTAAGACACACATACCTGCTTCACTGACGAGTGCAGCTCGGGCACGTGCAGGCGAGTGGTGAGTCGGTGTGTGAAGAACAACTGTGACTTAAGACATGCAGTGCATAAACCTGAAACTGGCTAAGACACACATACCTGCTTCACTGACGAGTGCAGCTCGGGCACGTGCAGGCGAGTGGTGAGTCGGTGTGTGAAGAACAACTGTGACTTAAGACATGCAGTGCATAAACCTGAAACTGGCTAAGACACACATACCTGCTTCACTGACGAGTGCAGCTCGGGCACGTGCAGGCGAGTGGTGAGTCGGTGTGTGAAGAACAACTGTGACTTAAGACATGCAGTGCATAAACCTGAAACTGGCTAAGACACACATACCTGCTTCACTGACGAGTGCAGCTCGGGCACGTGCAGGCGAGTGGTGAGTCGGTGTGTGAAGAACAACTGTGACTTAAGACATGCAGTGCATAAACCTGAAACTGGCTAAGACGCACATACCTGCTTCACTGACGAGTGCAGCTCGGGCACGTGCAGGCGAGTGGTGAGTCGGTGTGTGAAGAACAACTGTGACTTAAGACATGCAGTGCATAAACCTGAAACTGGCTAAGACACACATACCTGCTTCACTGACGAGTGCAGCTCGGGCACGTGCAGGCGAGTGGTGAGTCGGTGTGTGAAGAACAACTGTGACTTAAGACATGCAGTGCATAAACCTGAAACTGGCTAAGACACACATACCTGCTTCACTGACGAGTGCAGCTCGGGCACGTGCAGGCGAGTGGTGAGTCGGTGTGTGAAGAACAACTGTGACTTAAGACATGCAGTGCATAAACCTGAAACTGGCTAAGACACACATACCTGCTTCACTGACGAGTGCAGCTCGGGCACGTGCAGGCGAGTGGTGAGTCGGTGTGTGAAGAACAACTGTGACTTAAGACATGCAGTGCATAAACCTGAAACTGGCTAAGACACACATACCTGCTTCACTGACGAGTGCAGCTCGGGCACGTGCAGGCGAGTGGTGAGTCGGTGTGTGAAGAACAACTGTGACTTAAGACATGCAGTGCATAAACCTGAAACTGGCTAAGACACACATACCTGCTTCACTGACGAGTGCAGCTCGGGCACGTGCAGGCGAGTGGTGAGTCGGTGTGTGAAGAACAACTGTGACTTAAGACATGCAGTGCATAAACCTGAAACTGGCTAAGACGCACATACCTGCTTCACTGACGAGTGCAGCTCGGGCACGTGCAGGCGAGTGGTGAGTCGGTGTGTGAAGAACAACTGTGACTTAAGACATGCAGTGCATAAACCTGAAACTGGCTAAGACACACATACCTGCTTCACTGACGAGTGCAGCTCGGGCACGTGCAGGCGAGTGGTGAGTCGGTGTGTGAAGAACAACTGTGACTTAAGACATGCAGTGCATAAACCTGAAACTGGCTAAGACACACATACCTGCTTCACTGACGAGTGCAGCTCGGGCACGTGCAGGCGAGTGGTGAGTCGGTGTGTGAAGAACAACTGTGACTTAAGACATGCAGTGCATAAACCTGAAACTGGCTAAGACACACATACCTGCTTCACTGACGAGTGCAGCTCGGGCACGTGCAGGCGAGTGGTGAGTCGGTGTGTGAAGAACAACTGTGACTTAAGACATGCAGTGCATAAACCTGAAACTGGCTAAGACACACATACCTGCTTCACTGACGAGTGCAGCTCGGGCACGTGCAGGCGAGTGGTGAGTCGGTGTGTGAAGAACAACTGTGACTTAAGACATGCAGTGCATAAACCTGAAACTGGCTAAGACACACATACCTGCTTCACTGACGAGTGCAGCTCGGGCACGTGCAGGCGAGTGGTGAGTCGGTGTGTGAAGAACAACTGTGAATTAAGACATGCAGTGCATAAACCTGAAACTGGCTAAGACGCACATACCTGCTTCACTGACGAGTGCAGCTCGGGCACGTGCAGGCGAGTGGTGAGTCGGTGTGTGAAGAACAACTGTGACTTAAGACATGCAGTGCATAAACCTGAAACTGGCTAAGACACACATACCTGCTTCACTGACGAGTGCAGCTCGGGCACGTGCAGGCGAGTGGTGAGTCGGTGTGTGAAGAACAACTGTGACTTAAGACATGCAGTGCATAAACCTGAAACTGGCTAAGACGCACATACCTGCTTCACTGACGAGTGCAGCTCGGGCACGTGCAGGCGAGTGGTGAGTCGGTGTGTGAAGAACAACTGTGACTTAAGACATGCAGTGCATAAACCTGAAACTGGCTAAGACGCACATACCTGCTTCACTGACGAGTGCAGCTCGGGCACGTGCAGGCGAGTGGTGAGTCGGTGTGTGAAGAACAACTGTGACTTAAGACATGCAGTGCATAAACCTGAAACTGGCTAAGACGCACATACCTGCTTCACTGACGAGTGCAGCTCGGGCACGTGCAGGCGAGTGGTGAGTCGGTGTGTGAAGAACAACTGTGACTTAAGACATGCAGTGCATAAACCTGAAACTGGCTAAGACGCACATACCTGCTTCACTGACGAGTGCAGCTCGGGCACGTGCAGGCGAGTGGTGAGTCGGTGTGTGAAGAACAACTGTGACTTAAGACATGCAGTGCATAAACCTGAAACTGGCTAAGACACACATACCTGCTTCACTGACGAGTGCAGCTCGGGCACGTGCAGGCGAGTGGTGAGTCGGTGTGTGAAGAACAACTGTGACTTAAGACATGCAGTGCATAAACCTGAAACTGGCTAAGACACACATACCTGCTTCACTGACGAGTGCAGCTCGGGCACGTGCAGGCGAGTGGTGAGTCGGTGTGTGAAGAACAACTGTGACTTAAGACATGCAGTGCATAAACCTGAAACTGGCTAAGACACACATACCTGCTTCACTGACGAGTGCAGCTCGGGCACGTGCAGGCGAGTGGTGAGTCGGTGTGTGAAGAACAACTGTGACTTAAGACATGCAGTGCATAAACCTGAAACTGGCTAAGACACACATACCTGCTTCACTGACGAGTGCAGCTCGGGCACGTGCAGGCGAGTGGTGAGTCGGTGTGTGAAGAACAACTGTGACTTAAGACATGCAGTGCATAAACCTGAAACTGGCTAAGACACACATACCTGCTTCACTGACGATTGCAGCTCGGGCACGTGCAGGCGAGTGGTGAGTCGGTGTGTGAAGAACAACTGTGACTTAAGACATGCAGTGCATAAACCTGAAACTGGCTAAGACACACATACCTGCTTCACTGACGAGTGCAGCTCGGGCACGTGCAGGCGAGTGGTGAGTCGGTGTGTGAAGAACAACTGTGACTTAAGACATGCAGTGCATAAACCTGAAACTGGCTAAGACACACATACCTGCTTCACTGACGATTGCAGCTCGGGCACGTGCAGGCGAGTGGTGAGTCGGTGAGTGAAGGAGACACGCTTGAGAGCGAGCAGAGTGGGGGAGTCTGCTGCTGCTACCACCACCCACCACCCCTCCTCCTTCACCTGGAAAACGGAAGATACATAATGAGTAATGACAGGGAAGAGAGGATTAAGTATTGAGGCACCTCAAAAGCAGGGTGGAGGAGTCAGCTGCTGCTATCAAGAGGGAGCCACAAGTAGGGGCGATGGACGTTGCATGGCAGAAGCTGTCGCTTAGTTAAAAAATAATTGTTGTTGTAGGCTTGCTTAAAAGCTGCTGCTATCACCACCCACTGGAGAATGATAAATACCCCAATAACCAGAGCATTCTATTACATGTTTTCTTTTGTTTGATTGATTGTGCTTTTCATATTCTCATGCATGCAGAAACGACCTTCTGGATCGCAGCATCGATATGTGCATAAAGGCAAGTGATGGTAGAAGAAGGACGAGTGGCCATTTGATGAATTTGCGAATGTTATTTTGAGCATTTGAGACCTTGCCAAAAAAAATCAAAGAATGTGCGTCTTATCAGCTCGAACACACCTTGGGGAAGAATGGTGTGTAGGCACGCAGAGAGTGTGGCTGGTGCGGCCGCGAGCGGCGAAGCGACACCTCCACCACCACTGCTGACGTTGCTGCAGCTGCGGACTTTGCAGGTGTCTTCCCCCCATCAGCTGTGCCGAATGGGAGGACTCGCACTGACATGGACACTCGAGGCAGCATCCCCAGAGCCTGGGAGATACAAGGGCAAGGGGTTGAGTAGAGGGAGAAGCGAGAGAGAGAAGGAGAAAGAGTGAGGGTTGCGGAGGGAAGGAACAGACAAAAGAAGGGAGGGTAAGGGCAGTGGGAGTAAAAGAGAGGATAGGGAAGAGCAAAAGAAGTGAGAAATTGACGATGTGAAGAGACACAGTTGAAAACCAAATGGCATCGGGAGGAAAACCAAATGTGGGAAGGAAAACAGCACTCGAAACGAGTCAGTACAAGGCACTTAACGAGTTGAAGAATTATGGCAGGTGCAGGTGGAAAAGATGATGCGGGTGAGAGATGCTTTCTACTGTACGTGATGCTAAAGGAGTTAATGCTGTTACATCGACTTTTGATGCACCTCAAAAGGCAAGTGCGGGTGGAAAAGAAGATGGGTGAGAGATGCTCGCTAAGGTACGTGCCGCTTTGCGGCAAGAGCCATATGTTAAGAAAAGCAAAGCAAACAAGTGCGAGATGAGAAGAGATGACAACCATCGAGGCGCTAATGTACGTTCCGCTTAAGGGGTGAGCGTTTTTACGACGACTTGAGAACGTCCAACCAACCATCATTAGCATAGCATGCTCAACCAGTAACCAACCATGGGGCAAGAGGAGCAAGGAAGGCAGTTAGAGGACACTGCTCTGTTTTGATGCGTTTCCCATCATATAAGAACTCAATGTGTGGTGTTCATACGTTTCAACTTCAAGCACACCTGAAGGAAGTCCACGCGAGCGGCAGGCGAGAGGTGGCTGGCGAGCAGCTGGCGTAGGTGATGTGGCGAGTAGTGGGTCGACTCACAGGTCAATGTTAGGCACGCCTCAAGGAAGTCGGAGCGAGCGGAAGGCGATGAAGAAGAATGCTCGCATTGAGATGCTTCAAATGATCTTACAAGAACTCGATACTTAAAGTTGGTGAGTTTCTGAGATTGAGGCATACCTGAAGGAAGTCGGCACGAGCGGCAGGCGAGAGGTGGGAGGAGAGGAGCTGGCGGAGGTGATGTGGCGAGGCGGACAGCAGGGCTGATAAGGATGCCAGCCTGGCAGCTGACAGGGCGTCCTCCAATGAGGGCGTGACATGTGGCAGCATGGCTATGGGCGAGCCAAGGTCGCACCAGACAGCCTGTGCAAGGGAGGAAAGGGAGGAAAAAGGGGGAGGGAGGAGGTAAGAAGAGGTGCATCTGGTGAGGCACATGAAGGAGCATTTGGATGAGGCACATAGTTAGCAGAGACAGCAGGATGGATTGACTGTTGAGTCGACTCAACGTGTTTGAAGAAGTGTTTTGAGACGTCTCAAAGCATTTGGATGAGGCGCATAGTTAGCAGAGACAGCAGGATGGACTGACTTTTGAGTGGACTCAAACGCCACCTGGACTACCAGTCACATCCCACCCACCTGAATGACCATCTGTGTAAGGCGCATGGTGAGCAGAGCAGGCTGTAGCTGGCCGGCTGTAGCAGTGGCGCCGATCATGGCCTGTAGCACTCGCATGGTCATTAGAGTCATAAACACCTGCCTCCCACCCACCTGAATGACCATCTGTGTGAGGCGCATGGTGAGCACAGCTGGCTGTAGCTGGCCGGCTGTAGCGGCGGTGTCGATCATGGCCTGTAGCACTCGCATGGTCTGATCCAACACACTCTTGAGGTCCGTCTCGTAGTCACTCATTGGCATTGCCAGACGGGCGCAGTGCGCCTGAGAGGGGGGGAGGGAAGGGAGGAAGCATCGGAAGGGAGACACGAATGGGAGGTGGTAATGGGGGTGAAACAACACACTCTTCTTAAGGTCCGTCTCGTAGTCGCTCATTGGCATGGCCAGGCGGGCGAAGTGCGCCTGATAAAGAGGGGAGGAAAGGAACCAAGAGATGTGCAGTTGATGTGGCAAGGATTAAAAGACAAGCCACAGCACGCTCTTGCGGTGCGTCTTGTCGGAGCCCATCAGCATGCCAGCCGGGCGAAGTGCGCCTGATAGGAGGGAGGGAGGAAACATTGGAAGGGAGACACGATTGGGAGGTGGGGAGTGATTTGCCTGTGAGAGGACACACCCTTGAGGTCCGTCTCGTAGTTGTTCATTGGCATGGGCAGGCGGGAGAAATGCGCCTGAGAGGATGAAGAGAGGGAGGAAGCAGTGAAAGATAAAAAAACCAGGCAAGCAGTGAAATGCAGGGAGGTCTTTGAGGAGGCTAAAACACGCATCGTACAGGCAAGCTAGATTCACCTTGAGGCTAATCCAGGCTGAGGGCTGAGCTCACCTGGAGCAGCAGGGCAGGTTGGTCTTGGTGTGCGGGTCATCATAGGTGCGATGGCCATTGAGAATTTTGGAAAATACATTGCGCAGGCTAACTAGATTCACCTGAGGTGAGGGCTGACCTCACCAGGGCTGACCTCACCAGGGCTGACCTCACCAGGGCTGACCTCACCTGAAGGCTGAGCTCACCTGAAGGCTGACCTCACCTGAAGGCTGAGCTCACCTGAAGGCTGACCTCACCTGAAGGCTGACCTCACCTGAAGGCTGACCTCACCTGAAGGCTGAGCTCACCTGAAGGCTGAGCTCACCTGGAGCAGCAGGTTGGTCTTGGTGTGCGGGTCGTCGTAGGTGCGATGGTCCACCTTCCACCGCACATGCTTTGCCAGCTCAGCATTCACAAACTCCTGTAAAGGGTGAGAGAAGAGAGGAATGGGCAGCGCAAGGAGCAGAGAAATGGGTAGAGTATCTAACGGGCAGCGAAACAAGGAAAGAAATAGTTGTGCGCTGCCCACACAGCAGGTCCCAAAGGGAACCACGTCTGATAGCACGTCACTGCACTGAACCGCACATCACCCCTTTCAAATCTGAAGCTTATACTCACCTCATTATGCCTGACTGGCAGCTCGTCAAACTCTGCCGCACCACACAACACATGCAGCACCGTCTCCAGTGTCACCGCCGTGGCACCATGACTATGTTCAAGGAACCTCCAGAACCGCACTGAACCGCACCGCATCGCACTGCACCATTATCATGGTGTACTCACCTCATTGTGCCTGACTGGCAGCTCGTCGAACTCTGCCGCCCCACACAGCACATGCAGCACCGTCTCCAGGGTAATTGCCGCAGCAGCGGGCGGCGAAGTGAGATTGGCGGTGAACAGTGCGGCGGTGGTGAAGTGCAGGTAGTACTGCGACGCAATCAGGCCGGGCGGCAGAGGATCCACACTGCCGTCCTCGTGGAGGGCGATGCAGCCGGCTGCATCGAGGTCAGATAGAGTGCGGCTGACGAGACTGCAGGGAGGGGAGAGAGAAGGATGAGAGAGTAATGAGTGGGGATTGAACAAAGGACGAGGATTCACAGTGCTGTCCTCAAGCAGGGCGATGTAGCTGGCAGCATCCAGGTCGGAGAGAGTGCGGCTGACGAGACTGTAGGGGCGAATGGGTTTTGAGAATGGAGGAAAGAAAGGGAGATTTGAGACGTGAGCGTGTGCGCCTGGTATGAAGCGGCAGAGGATCCACACTGCCGTCCTCGTGGAGTGCAATGCAGCCAGCAGCATCGAGGTCTGAGAGAGTGCGGCTGACGAGACTGCAGGGATGAGAAGGGATGGGTGGTGAATGGATAAGGTAAGAGCGAGCACGTGTCACATGTAAGAAGCGCCAGAGGATCCACACTGCCGTCCTCATGCAGGGCGATGCACCCGGAAGCATCCAGGTCGGATAGAGTGCGGCTGACGAGACTGCAGGCAGGGAAGGAGGGAGGAGAGAGTAAGGAGTGGGTGGGGAATGAATAAGGGATGAGGATCCACACTGCCATCCTCATGCAGCGGCGATGCACCCCGCAGCATCCAAGTCGGAGAGAGTGCGGCTGACGAGACTGGAGGGATGAGAAGGGATGAGAGGAAGGGAGTGGGAGATAAGTGAGGGATGGACAAGGTAAGGGTGTGCCCCTGGTAAAGAGCGCAGAGAGTGTAGGGTGGACAGAGGATGCACAGTGAAGTCCTCATACAGAGCAACGCACCCCGACGAATCCAGGTCAGAGAGGGAGTGGCTCACAAGACTGCAGGGGTTGCAGAGGAGGCGACGGAGGAAGATCCATTGTTTTACTCAACCAGGAAGTACACAAGAGAAGAGAGAAAGTTCACTCAACCACGCTGTCCTTCTCGGAAAGAAAGACATTGACAGATTCCGCACTGGTGTCAGAGAGCCCATAGTAGGAGAGAAGAGAAGAGAAGCGTACTCTGAGAGAAATACCCTTATCCTTACCTGAGGAAGGGAGTGGGAGATAAGTGAGGAAAGAAAGACATTGACAGATTCCGCACTGGTGTCAGAGAGCCCATAGTAGGAGAGAAGAGAAGAGAAGCGTACTCTGAGAGAAATACCCTTATCCTTACCTGAGGAAGGGAGTGGGAGATAAGTGAGGAAAGAAAGACATTGACAGATTCCGCACTGGTGTCAGAGAGGCCATAGAAGGAGGGGTTGCAGAGGAGGCGGCGGAAGAAGAAGAGGAAGGTCCAGACACTTACTTAGCCAGAAGGTACAACAGAGAAGAGAAGAGAAGCTTACTCTGAGAGAAATACGTTGACCGAATCAGCGCTGGTGTCAGAGAGGCCGTAGAAGGAGGGGTTGCAGAGGAGGCGGCGGAAGAAGAAGGTCCAGGTGAGGTAGTCCGAAAGAGAGAGGCTTACTCTGAAAGAAAGACATTGACCGCCTCTGGGCTGGTGTCGGAAAGGCCATAGAAGGAGGGGTTGCAGAGGAGGCGGCGGAAGAAGAAGGTCCAGGTGAGGTAGTCCAGGGCGTCCTGCACGCTGGCTATGCTGCCCCCCGCCACCTCCGCGTTCAGATGGTTGTGCAGCACCAGGTGCAGCGATGACTCCACTGGGAACGGCTCGTACAGAAACTGGACGGAGGGGAGGATAGGCGAGAGAGAGAGGGACGGAGGGAGTGTTGAAAGCACCCTTGCATTGAATTGAATATTGTCACGGATAACGCTTCTTGCAGAAGCTCGTTTTGAGCTCATGCACCCAATGTTCCCTCCCACCATACCCCTCCAGCACCCTTGACCTCTTCCCCTCTCTTCCTTACCTCTTCTCCCTCCTCTCACCTTCTTATAGAAGCTCTTCTTGGGCTCGTGCACGAGAATCACCGCCTTGGCTTCGTTGTCAAACTGCGGCCTGCTCTGGCAAGGACTTCTTACCTCCCCACCCCTCCATCCCTATTCCCAACCTCTTCTCACCTTCTTATAGAAACTCTTCTTAGGCTCGTGCACGAGAATAACCACCTTGGCCTCGTTGTCGAATTGCGGCCGCCCCGCGCGCCCCATCATCTGCAGCACGTCTGTGATTGCCACGTACCGCTTCTGCTCTGCTTCCCCCCACTCCTCTCTTACCTTGTTCTCGAAGCTCTCCTAGAGAGGCGCGGCGATAGCAGCACAGCACGTCTGTGATTGGCATCTGCACATACCGCTTCTGCTCTGCTTCCCCCCACTCATCCCCCTTGTCCTCTCTTACCCTCTTATAGGTTCCCTGCTTAAGCTCGTGCACCCGCACCACATATATTCCCTCCCATCCCACCCCCTCCCCCTCACCTTTTTGTAGAAGCTCTTTTTGGGCTCGTGGACTAGAATCACCGCCTTGGCTTCATTATCGAATTGCGGCCGCCCCGCCCGCCCCATCATCTGGAGCACGTCTGTGATTGGCATCTCCACGTACCGCTTCTGCTTCCCGTCGAAATACTCTGTTCCCTTCACCACCACTAGATGGGCTGGCAGGTTCACACCCCATGCGAGGGTAGACGTGCACACAAGCACCTGGGAAGATTGAGGATGGGGCAGGGGCGGGCAAGGGAGGTGAGAGGCGCAAGGGTTAGAAACACAGCACGTCTGTGATGGGCATCTCCACGTACCGCTTCTGCTTCCCATCGAAATACTCCGTTCCCTTCACCACCACCAGGTGCGCGGGTAGATTCACACCCCAAGCAAGGGTAGACGTGCACACAAGCACCTAGCGGGGGGATGAGGAAGGGGCAGAGGACGGCAAGGGAGGTGAGGGATGCAGGGTTTAGCAGCAGAGCACGTCTGTGATGGGCATCTCCACATACCGCTTCTGCTTCCCATCAAAATACTCCGTTCCCTTCACCACCACCAGGTGGGCTGGCAGGTTCACACCCCATGCAAGGGTAGATGTGCACACAAGCACCTGGAGAGGCAAGAGAATGCGGAAGGAGAAGAGGAAGCAAAGCAGCAGCGGATGCAAGAGAGAGGGGAATGCAGGGAGGCAGGGGATGGCAAGGGAGGTGAGGGATGAGGGGGTTGCAGCACAGCACATCCGTGATTGGCATCTCCACATACCGCTTTTGCAAGGAAGGGAGAGGGCTGGGGTAGGGGCAGGCGGTGCAGCGAGGAAGGGGATGGGTGCGGGGAGAATCTGGGCTCGAGAAGAGGAAGCTAAAGACGGTGGAAGCCCATTGTTTCATGGCCAGAAGACGAAAGGGTTTGAGAGCGAGAGTAGTGGAGGGGGAGGTTGGAAAACTACTTCACTACTCTCGCTCTCAAACCCTTTCATCTTCTCTGGCCATGCAACACTGGGCTCTCACCTCGTCTTTAGCCTCCTCTTCTCGAGATCATATTCTCCCCACATCAATCCCCTTCCTCGCTGCACCGCTTGCTCCTCCTCCAAACCTCTCTTCTTTTTCTTCCCCCCCTTCGCTCTGAACCCCTCCTCGCCCCTCCCAACCTCCGTCCACTTTCCAACCTCCTCCCCACTTCCTCCCTCCATCCCTTTCCCCTTACCCACTTCTTCCGTGCGTTCATCCTCTCTCTCTTGCTAACCACTAACACCTCCCTTCTCCCCCACGGCTAATCTTGGCCGTCCATTCTCCTCTTGAACATTCCTAAACATCAACCTTGTTTTACCCTGACAATCACCTGTCCTTTTTGCCTCCACCACCACTTCTCTCCCTTTTCAGCGCTTTGCTTTCCCTTTCCGTTGCTCTCTCGCCCTCTGCGCATCCCCATCCCCACTCAATTCGCCACCTTCCACTCCAAACATCCTCACACCCCCTGCACCAACTGCCTCCACTTGTTCCTTCTACCCGCACCAAGCGGTTACCACCACACAGTTAACACACGATCAGCACTCAAATACCTGGATCTTCCTCTCGGCAAAAAGCGTCTCCACGAGCGACCGGTCCCCCTGGGTGAGCCCAGCGTGGTGCAGCCCGATGCCAAACTGCAGCGTGTGCTTCAGCTCTGCTGACGATGCCATCGCCACGTGTGCCTCCATCTCCTCCTCACTCGCATGCACAAACTGCCGCGGCCGCTCGTCCGCTGCTGCGTACTGGAAACGGGGAAAGAGACACATAGGGGCGATGTCTAGTGGAGAAAACAACATGTGGAGCAATAGGGCTATAACCTAACCACACTCCATGGCCACTTGTGCCTCCATCTCCTCCTCACGCGCGTGCACAAACTGCCACGGTTGCTCGCCCGCTGCTGCGGATTGATAGGGGGGGGGAAAGGGAGACAGGAAGATATGGTGGAAAGGGGAAAGACCGGATAAGAAACAGAATGAGATGAAGCACTTTCAAGCGGGTCTGCATTGACGACGACACGAATGAACACGAGCACAGGCTTGTCGATCATTTGCTAAAGATTTCTTCTAGACTGCAGCTCGCCTAACAAGCTTCTATGGCTCACGAGCACAGGCTTGACGGGCGAGTGGGTAAGAATCGCAGTAAAGAGCGGCTTGCTCATGGAGTTCATGCGATAATTTGAAATCAGACCAAACCTGGCCTGAGTAGCATATCTTACCATTTAAAGCCACTCCTCCTCACTAGATAAAGATACCAAACACTAGATAAAGTGCTGTCAACCGAGTCTGGCGCCTTGAGTTGAGGAGACGACAACAAGCACGGGCTTCACGGGCGAGTGCGTGAGAATGGCAGTGTAGAGCGGCTTGTTCTTGACGGTCATGCGCGGGCAGTAGAAGTTGGCTTATCTTTCCTGGCTGGCTCTGGAAACGAACCTTGAGGAAACACTCACCTGAATGAGATCAAGCGCAGTGAGGCGGGTCTGGCGCCTTGAGGAGACGAAAACGAGCACAGGCTTCACAGGCGAGTGGGTGAGAATGGCGGCGTAGAGCGGCTTGTTCATGGCGTTCATGCGCGGGCAGTAGAACTTGCCGGGGTAGCCCTGGATGTGCACGTCTAGCGGCACGGGGCGCACGCTGGGCTTGAAGTTGAAGAGGCCGACTTTCTCAATCCCCAGCCAGTCCGCTAGGTCCCTGGGCGGAGAGAGGCGAGAGAACAGGGAAGAAGGAAGAGAGGAGCAAGGATAAGAGAAGGTAAGACGGGATGAGAGGGGGCAGTAGAACTTGCCCGGGTAGCCCTGGATGTGCACGTCTAGCGGCACGGGGCGCACGCTGGGCTTGAAGTTGAACAGACCGACTTTCTCAATCCCCAGCCAGTCCGCTAGGTCCCTGGGCGGAGAGAGGCGAGAGAACAGGGAAGAAGGAAGAGAGGAGCAAGGATAAGAGAAGGTAAGACGGGATGAGAGGGGGCAGTAGAACTTGCCCGGGTAGCCCTGGATGGGCACGTCTAGCGGCACGGGGCGCACACTGGGCTTGAAGTTGAACAGTCCGACTTTCTCAATCCCCAACCAGTCAGCCAGGTCCCAGAGGGGAAGGGACGCAAGGGAACCGGGAAGAGAGAAGAGAGGGGCAGGGAGAAGAGAAGGTAAAAAGGGATGAGACGCGGCAGTAGCCTTGGATGTGCACGTCTAGTGGCACGGGGCGCACACTGGGCTTGAAGTTGAACATTCCGACTCGCTCTATTCGCAGCTAGTCCGCCAGGCCCCTGGGGGGGAGGGAGGGAAGGAAGGAGTTGATGGGGGGAGGAAAGGGAATGAGGGAGGGAGGTGACGAGAAGATGAAAAGGATTAACGAGGGCAGTAAAGCCCTTCCAGGTGTGACAGTGGAGGATGGTGCCACCTACACAACATGGATCTCAGCTGCCCCCAGCAGGCACCTCACGGTCCCCACCTGGTGTTGGCGAGAGTGGTGGAGAGGCCAAGGTGAAGCATATGCGATGCCCTAGCAGGCAACACCGTACCTGGCATTGGCGAGAGCGGTGGAGAGGCCGAGTAAGCGGTTGGGGCGGGCAGTGCGGGCAGAGATGTATCTCATCCTCGATACTATCACCTCCAGTACTGGCCCTCTGCCTGTCTCTAGCAGCCATCTCACCTGCCCTTACTGCCCCTCACAGCCATCTCCCCTGCCCCCAGCAGGCATCCCACATGCGCCACCTGCCCAGCAGGCATCACACCTGCCCCTAGCAGTATGTTACCTAACAGGCAGGGAGGCACCTCACCTGGCGTTGGCGAGGGCGGTGGAGAGGCCGAGGAAGCGGATCGGGCGGGAGGTGGAGAGGCATCTTAGCTGCCCTTAGCAGAATGACAAGCATGCATCATGCACCTCACTCACCTGCCCCTAACAGGCAAAGCAGGCAGGCAATCACCTCACCTGGCGTTGGCGAGGGCGGTGGAGAGGCCGAGGAAGCGGATGGGGCGGGAGGTGGAGTGGCATCTCACCTACCCCGAGCAGAATGACAAGCATGCATCATGCACCTCACTCACCTGCCCCTAAAAGGCAAGGCAGGCAGGCAATCACCTCACCTGGCGTTGGCGAGGGCGGTGGAGAGGCCGAGGAAGCGGATGGGGCGGGAGGTGCGGGCGGAGATGTATCTCATCCTCGATACAATCACCTCCAGTACTGGCCCCCTGTCCTGCCCCAGCAGATGAATCTCATCCATCACCATCAACCCCACCTGCATGGGATGGCATTGTGGGGGATGATTTAATTGATGGGGTTGAGTTATGAGCAGACCTCCTCTATTACCGACTCTCTGTCCTGCCCCAGCAGGTGAATCTCATCCATCACCATCAACCCCACCTGCATGGGATGGCAATTCGAGATGCAACCAGGGGTAAGGAATGAGGGTTGAGATTCCTAGTACAATCACCTCCTCTCCATTATAGACCACCTGTTCTACCCTGACAGATGAATCCTTCGATCACCATCAATCCTACCTGCATGCAATGGAAGGCAGAAAACGTTGTATTAAGGGAAGGGGTGTAAGAAGGGTGTCCAGCTGATCAGTCGGACACTGTCACACTGTCATGGGACATACATCCTGGATACTAGCATTGCACTCTGCAGGCGAATCTCTGCACACGAGATTGCACATCAGATGCAAACAGGGGCAAGTTCATCTCACCGCACATGCACATACATACATGCACACACACACATGCGTACCACACCCAACTTCACCCCGTTATGCCCCAATTTCTCTCACCGTCTGAGCATACGATCGGTTGTGCCAGCTGCGAGTGATGCCATCCCACTTCTCTGGTGTCGCCACAATCACATCAGCCGCCACCAGCAGTTTCATGTCTGGCGTGAGATCACCCGTCAGCTCCACCTGTTGTGGCAAGGAGAGGGAACAGGGTGAGGAATACCGGGAGGATGGAGAGCAGCGGCAGGCAGGGGTGGGTGCGAGGGTGAGGCATTGCTGTCAGCCGCCACCACACCAGCAGCTTCATGTCCTGAGTGAGATCACCCGTTAGCTCCACCTCTAGAGGAAAGGAAGAGAGGAATACACAGAGGATAAAGAGGATTGGGGATTGGGGAGGGCAATGGGGTGGGTGAGGCAATGCCGTCAGCCGCCACCAGCAGCTTCATGTCCGGAGTGAGATCTCCTGTCAGACCCACGTGGAGATGAAGGGAAGACAGGAGGGAGGAGGGGATGGAGAGGAGGGGAGGGCAAGGAGACAGGTGAGGCAAAGCTGTTCCCCGCCTATGTATTTTTTGCCTGCCCAGCACTCTGCATTCCGGGGTTTTTTCTAAGCTGGAAATCAGTGTATCATGTATGTACGGAATAGTTCGTACGTGTACCGTACGCGATAAGCATCTTTTCCAACATAGGTTCGCAACAGTTCGACAGAACGGATTAACTTCGGTACTTTCACATCCCTTCAACCAATCATCAAATTTCCATTCTATGCAGATAGGCGATGGGGATAGGCTACCCACCATGCACTTGCCGAGCTTTGGCATGAAGTTCTTGCCCCAGTCCTCCATCCTCTCTCGCACCAGGGCTTTAAGTGGCGCTATGTAAATCACCTGCCAGCACGTGCAGAAGGGTGGGCAAAATATGGGCAAGAAGGTCAACAAACCAGTATTCATTTTTCAAAAGGATCTCTATCTCTCTACTTATGAGACTAGCACAGCAAGCTTAGCCAAGACGGTATTGTCTTGCCTCTTCCAAAAAGTCCCTTCAACTTCATGCCCGGCTGTGTGAGAAACATCCGGAACATAGCAAGCCCAAGCGAAATGGTCTTGCCACTGCCAGTGGGAGCACTCAGCAGCACATCCACCCATTTGTACACCTCTGTACCCCTTTCCACTCGCATCCCACCTTCATGCCTGGCTGTGTGCGGAACAGCCTGAGCATAGCAAGCTCAGCCGAGATGGTCTTGCCACTGCCAGTGGGAGCACCGAGCAGCACGCTGTGGTCGGAGTGGTAGAGCGTGTGGAAGGCCTGAGTCTGAATGGGGTTGAAGTGCGAAAAGCCATACAGCCCGATGGCCTGGGGGTCCCCCGGGCTGTTACGGGCAGAGGACGCAGATTGAGCAGCTCTGTGTGGGGCGGGTGGCGCTGGGGAGAGGGGAAGGCAGGAGGGAAAACCGTCAGAGAAAAAGGGAGGTGAACATGAATAGATTGAAGAAGAAAGGCTACATTGTTGACAGGATAAGAGCTACTTAGGCCAAAATGAAGTTCCTCAGACCGGATAAAGGCTACCAGCACGCAGGATGCGAGGTATACAGGTTGGATGACAGTCACGCTTGGCAGGACGAGAGTTACCCTGAGCAGGATGAAAGTTACCTTGCGCAGGATGAGAGTTACCTCGGGCAGGATGAAAGATACCTCGGGCAGGATGAAAGTTACCTCAGGCAGGATGAAAGAAGGTTACCTCGGGCAGGATGAAAGAAAATTACCTCGGGCAGGATGAGGTGGCGGAAGGAGATGGTGTGGGTGGAGGAGGAGGAGAGCCAGTTGTCTGAGATGGCCTTCACGTAGTACTGCGGGGGTAGCGGCTCAAAGATGGGGATGGTGAAGGTGAGCGTGTGTGTGCCCTGCGCCATCATCTTCTTGGACAGAATGAAATACTCCGTGTGGTAGATGTGCTCGTTCTCGCTGTCCTGCCAGGTTGAGAGCGGTCAAGAGGGGTTGAGGTGAGAATGGTGAAGGTGAGCGTGTGTGTGCCCTGCGCCATCATCTTCTTGGACAGAATGAAATACTCCGTGTGGTAGATGTGCTCGTTCTCGCTGTCCTGCCAGGTTGAGAGCGGTCAAGAGGGGTTGAGGTGAGAATGGTGAAGGTGAGCGTGTGTGTGCCCTGCGCCATCATCTTCTTAGAGAGAATGATATACTCCGTGTGGTAGATGTGCTCGTTCTCGCTGTCCTGCCAAGGTGGAGAGCGGTGAAGTGGGGTGGAGAGGGGTGGAGAGAGGTGGAGTGGAGAGGGGTGGAGATGGGTGGTGGATATGGGTGAGATTTAACCAACTCGACAACCATCCCAGATACCCTGGCCTGGCATGCACACATCCAACAACACACCCCCACAGTCCCACCTGCACACATTACAACTCCTTGACACTCCATCCCAACCACACCCAACCATCCCCTGACCTCCACTCCAACCATACTGACCACTCTGTACCCATATATCCACCGCTCACCTCCACCCATATCCACCAGCGCTGGGCGTTGCCATGGAATCGTTCTTTCCACTGGAAGGTGGGCGTCACATAGAGCGTCACCTGGGGGGGAGAGAGGGAGGGAAAATAAGGAGGATTTATGCGAGCAGGGGCAGTTGGTGCACATGCCAGCATGGGCATACAGATCAGCGCCCGTTGAAGTGCAGTGAAATCTGTCCTTCCACTGGAAGGTGGGAGTCACATAGAGGGTCACCTCGTTTGGTTGAAGGGAAAAAAGGGAAAGAGGGCGGGGGAGGAGGGTAGGAGGTCAAGGTAAGTGAGGTGATGAGTGGATGTGATGGAGTGGAAAGTCGTTGAGCAGGAACGGAGATGAATAATAAAGGTGCAGGAACAGAAGCCAGTGCAGGTGCATGTGTGGGGGTCACGGCCAAAGAGGAAAGGGTGGGTGATGGATGGGATGTGGCATAGAGAAACGAAGGGCTGAATTGGTGCGACTTTTGAGAATTCTCAAAAGTCGCACCAACACGGCCAAAGAGGAAAGGGTGGGTGACGGATGGGATGTGGCATAGAGAAACAAAGGGCTGACCTGCAGCACGGTGCGGGTGATGGGGCTGATGTGAGCGTCGAGCTCGAGATAGGGGAACTGAGACACGCACTGCGACACCAGCTGAGGGATGGGGGAGAGGAGAGAGCAGGGAGAAGGTATAACGCAAAGAAAATATTGGAGATTGAGTCTTTCCTTCAAGCTAAGAAAGAATTGAGAGCAAGAGGGACTGTTACACGCTGCTGAGGTACATAATTCAGGTAACTTGGAAAATGACACGCATAAAATGACTCAAATAACAAATGCTCATCTTGAGGTGCCTAAAAACTCAAGTTGGATAATGCATTTCCTGATGCAGCTCTCATTTTCACACCTTCTAAGTGTGGACTGAGACTGTGATTTTCCATTACACCCAGCAGCACAGCACAGCCCACCTTGGCAGCGTAGGGCGAGCGGATGATGGCAGCAATCTCACTGTCGTCCATGTCACACAGCCGGTCCAGGTCCAGGCCTCGGTCCTCCAGCTTGAACAGCACCTGGTGCACAGTGAAGGGTAGAGGCATGGATGGATAATCTGAGTGTTTCTTCTAGCCAGGTATCTCACACAAACAGCCGGTCCAGGTCCAGGCCTCGGTCCTCCAGCTTGAACAGCACCTGGTGCACAGTGAAGGGTAGAGGCATGGATGGATAATCTGAGTGTTTCTTCTAGCCAGGTATCTCACACAAACAGCCGGTCCAGGTCCAGGCCTCGGTCCTCCAGCTTGAACAGCACCTGGTGCACAGTGAAGGGTAGAGGCATGGATGGATAATCTGAGTGTTCCTTCTAGCCAGGTATCTCACACAAACAGCCGGTCCAGGTCCAGGCCTCGGTCCTCCAGCTTGAACAGCACCTGCAGCAGTGTTAGACGTGCACAGGCATGCGCATGGAAGTAAGGCGTACTTTCAAGCATGTCACACAGTTGGTCTAGGTCTAGGCCTCGGTCCTCCAGCTTGAACAGACCTGGTGCAGAGCACAGCAAGGGCGAGCAAAGCGAGAGAGCACAGCGAGATAGAGAGCACAGGCATGGATGGATACCATGGGCCATCCATAGGCACTGCCTTTGCCAACTCTCCAGCAGGGAAGCAGACAGCGAGCACATCCTTTTCACCAAGGAACGGAGAGAACTTTTGAGACGTCTCAAAAGTCATCCTTTTCACCAAGGAACGGAGAGAACTTTTGAGACGTCTCAAAAGTCATCCTTTTCACCAAGGAACGGAGAGAACTTTTGAGACGTCTCAAAAGTCATCCTTTTCACCAAGGAACGGAGAGAACTTTTGAGACGTCTCAAAAGTCATCCTTTTCGCCAAGGAACGGAGAGAACTTTTGAGACGTCTCAAAAGTCATCCTTTTCACCAAGGAACGGAGAGAACTTTTGAGACGTCTCAAAAGTCATCCTTTTCACCAAGGAACGGAGAGAACTTTTGAGACGTCTCAAAAGTCATCCTTTTCACCAAGGAACGGAGAGAACTTTTGAGACGTCTCGAAAGTCATCCTTTTCACCAAGGAACGGAGAGAACTTTTGAGACGTCTCAAAAGTCATCCTTTTCACCAAGGAACGGAGAGAACTTTTGAGACGTCTCAAAAGTCATCCTTTTCACCAAGGAACGGAGAGAACTTTTGAGACGTCTCGAAAGTCATCCTTTTCACCAAGGAACGGAGAGAACTTTTGAGACGTCTCAAAAGTCATCCTTTTCACCAAGGAACGGAGAGAACTTTTGAGACGTCTCAAAAGTCATCCTTTTCACCAAGGAACGGAGAGGCGGATGGATTGTTTACCTACCTCTTGAGGCAGCACGGATTCTCTTGACGCGCCTCAAACGACCTACCTCCTGAGAGAGCACAGACTCGTACTGCCTCAAGGGGTGCTGGTGTGGCCAGATGCAGTGAACCACCGCTGTGGGCATCTCTAGCAGAGAGGCCGCCCACCAGGGAAGAAATGATTGGATCAATTAGATGAAGGGAGGTGGATTACCTTCTGAGATATCACGGATTCGAACTGCCTCAAAGGGTTTGGTGCGGCCAGATGCGCAGGTCCACCGCCTTGGCCATCTCCAGCAGAGAGGCCGCCAGGCTTTTGACTTCGTTTCCTTTTGCGAGAAAGTGATTACCTCCTGAGAGATCACAGACTCGAACTGCCTTGGCGGGTGCTGCTGCGGCCAGATGCGCAGGTCCACCGCCTTGGCCATCTCCAGCAGGGAGGCTGCGAGGTGGAGCATGATCACCTCAGTCCGATAAAAGAAGATGTATTACCTCCTGTGAAATCACGGACTCGAACTGTCTCAAGGGGTGCTGGTGCGGCCAGATGCGCTGATCCACCGCCTTGGCCATCTCCAGCAGGGAGGCCGCCAGGGAGCACCATCCTCGCTTTAGAGTGATCTCAAAAAGCGCACGTGTGATGCGGCCGAGAGAGGCGGAGACGTAGGCAGTGTCGGCGATGAGCGAGAATGAGTCGAGGTAGCCGCGCGATAGGTAGACCTGGGGGAGGGAGGAGAGAAGTAAGGAGAGTGAATGAAAGGTCATTCAGATGCGGCTGAGGGACGCGGATACATAGGCAGTGTCGGCGATAAGTGAGGAGTCGAAATAGCTGGGCGATAGATAGACCTGGGGGATGGAGTTACAGCGAAAATGAGGGGACAGGGAGCATCAGATGTCTAAAGGGGTGCACGATGCGGCCCAGCAGGGCAGATGCATATGCAGTGTCCGCGATGAGCGAGAACGAGTCGAGGTAGCCGCGGGACAGGTACGCCTGCAAGACGGGTGAGGAAGTGAGAGGAAAGAGGGCAGGGGGGCGAAGGAATGAAATGACAAACAGAGAACATTCCATTGTGGTTGACGGAGGTGGGGAAGATATTCTCAGTGTTGGCGATGAGTGGGAAGGAGAGAGACAGTACAGCCACTCGCCTCCTACACTCGCCTGGATGAGAATTTTGATCTTCCCGATCTTGTCCTCTGCCCCCCCCTTCACGTCCAGGCGGCCACACTTACAGGATTGACATGACAACACTGGCTGAGTGGCAATCAGCTTTCTTACGGTACAGTGATTCGCCGCCTACACTCGCCTGGATGAGAATTTTGATCTTCCCGATCTTGTCCTCTGCCCCCCCCTTCACGTCCAGGCGGCCACACTTACAGGATTGACATGACAACACTGGCTGAGTGGCAATCAGCTTTCTTACGGTACAGTGATTCGCCGCCTACACTCGCCTGGATGAGAATTTTGATCTTCCCGATCTTGTCCTCTGCCCCCCCCTTCACGTCCAGGCGGCCACACTTACAGGATTGACATGACAACACTGGCTGAGTGGCAATCAGCTTTCTTACGGTACAGTGATTCGCCGCCTACACTCGCCTGGATGAGAATTTTGATCTTCCCGATCTTGTCCTCTGCCCCCCCCTTCACGTCCAGGCGGCCACACTTACAGGATTGACATGACAACACTGGCTGAGTGGCAATCAGCTTTCTTACGGTACAGTGATTCGCCGCCTACACTCGCCTGGATGAGAATTTTGATCTTCCCGATCTTGTCCTCTGCCCCCCCCTTCACGTCCAGGCGGCCACACTTACAGGATTGACATGACAACACTGGCTGAGTGGCAATCAGCTTTCTTACGGTACAGTGATTCGCCGCCTACACTCGCCTGGATGAGAATTTTGATCTTCCCGATCTTGTCCTCTGGCCCGCCCTTCACGTCCAGAGGGCAGAACTTGGAGCGCAAAGTGAAGAGCTCAGGCATTTCTTCCTCCCGCACCACTATATTCTCAAACTCAGATGACCGTGCTATCAGATCGACAATCTGGGATCAGGAGGAGAAGAGGAATAAGAAGAGCGACAGCGATTGAGAGGCGTTGAAGGGAAGAATGAAGAGCTCGGGCATCTCTTCCTCGCACACCACTATGTTCTCAAACTCGAATCATCTCGCTATCATACCCACAATCTGGCTGGGGTTGGTGGTGGGAGCGACAGGGGAGAGGTGGGGTAGGGATGGGTGAAGAGCTCTGTCGTTTGCTCCTCTCGCACCACCACTACGTTCTCAAACTCTGATAGCTGGGCTAAGAGTCCACAATCTGCAACTGAGATGCGTGAGAAGGGAGAGGCGATGTGAGGGCGAGGTGGGGCAGGCAAGGGTGAAGCACTCATCTCCTCCTCTTGCCCGTCCTCTCTTCTTCTTGCCTCAGCTCTCACCTCGCTCTCGCTCATGTGTCGCCTCAGCAGCTCGTTATAAGTCTCCACCGAAGTATAACGAATGTAGAAGTGACTCGCCACTCGCCCCAGCTCAGTCACGTACAGCTGCCCGCCCACTGTGCCTCTTATCCCCCCCAATACTTCCCCTCCTCCTCCCCCACCCTTCCCTCCCTCCCTCCCATGCCCTGCCCTCCCTCTCACCTCGCTCTCGCTCATGTGTCGTCGCAGCAGCTCGTTATAGGTCTCCACCGAAGTATATCGGATGTAGAAGTGACTCGCCACTCGCCCCAGCTCAGTCACATACAGCTGCCCACTGCGCTCGTCGAACCTCATCATTTTGGCTCGGTCCAGAGCCCTAAACTTCCCTTTCACTCCTTCCTTCCCTCCCGTGCCCTGCCCTCCCTCTCACCTCGCTCTCGCTCATGTGTCGTCGCAGCAGCTCGTTATAGGTCTCCACAGACGTGTATCGAATGTAGAAGTGACTCGCCACTCGCCCCAGCTCAGTCACATACAGCTGCCCGCTGCGCTCGTCGAACCTCATCATTTTGGCTCGGTCCAGAGCCCTAAACTTCCCTTTCACTCCTTCCTTCCCTCCCGTGCCCTGCCCTCCCTCTCACCTCGCTCTCGCTCATGTGTCGTCGCAGCAGCTCGTTATAGGTCTCCACAGACGTGTATCGAATGTAGAAGTGACTCGCCACTCGCCCCAGCTCAGTCACATACAGCTGCCCGCTGCGCTCGTCGAACCTCATCATCTTGGCTCGGTCCAGAGCCCTAATACTTCCCCTTCACTCCTTCCTTCCCTCTTGTGCCCTGCACTCCCTCCCTACCGTGCCCTGCCGTCTCTCTCACCTCGCTCTCGCTCATGTGTCGTCGCAGCAGCTCGTTATAGGTCTCCACAGACGTGTATCGGATGTAGAAGTGACTCGCCACTCGCCCCAGCTCCGTCACATACAGCTGTCCACTGCGCTCGTCGAACCTCATCATCTTCGCCCGGTCCAGAGAACGAGCAGCCTCGGTGATCAAGGCCTGGCGCCGAGCCACCAGGCCCGGATCCATGGCTACCTGGGAGGATGGGAAGAGGAGAGAGGAGGGGAGGGAGAGACAAGGGAGAGAGAGGGAGAAAGAAAGGATGCAAGAGATGGCTGGGATGATTGTTTGACGTTGGTGCACTGCCCCCCTGCCAGCACAAACCCAACACAAACAGGTACGTGTACCGAGCCAGGCTGACAACCTGCTCCCAGCACAACCCCATATAAATCAGCACTCACATCTTGCCATGTCATGCCATAGGCCAGAGGGTTGGCCTGCATGCGCACGAAGTGGTACGTGTATCCCAGCCAGGCTCACGAACAGTCCCAGCCAGAACAACCCCGGCACAACTCCGTAACCCTAGCACAGTAGGTAGCACTCACATCCTGCCATGTCATGCCATAGGCCAGCCAGAGGGTTGGCCTGCATGCGCACGAAGAGGTACGTGTATCCCAGCTAGGCCGATGAACAGACCCAAGCAATCACGTGGCACGTTCCAGCTGAATCACACTCACATCTTGCCATGTCATCCCGTACGCTAGCGGATTAGCCTGCATGCGCACGAAGAGGTACGTGTACCCCAGCCAGGCCGATGCCTCCTTGACGTTCGTCACCGTCCCCAGCACCACCTCTGCATTCAGATTGTCCTTTAGCATCGCCACGAACTGTGGAGGAAGTGACATAAGATTGGGCGAGGGGGAGAGGGAGGTTGGAGTCAGATGCCTCCTTCGCGTTGGCGCGACTTTTGAGAATTCTCAACAGATGCCTCCTTCGCGTTGGCGCGACTTTTGAGAATTCTCAACAGATGCCTCCTTCACGTTGGCGCGACTTTTGAGAATTCTCAACAGATGCCTCCTTCGCGTTGGCGCGACTTTTGAGAATTCTCAACAGATGCCTCCTTCGCGTTGGCGACTGTGCCCAACACCACTTCTCTGTTTAGAATTCTTGTGATGTGTTTGTTCAGAACATACTGATGCCTCACAATTAGCCAGTAACTCAGGCTGCAGTGGCGACGAATGGAACACATGAGATTTGACTGTACCTGGGGAGGGGAGGACTCACCTGAGGAATCACCTGAGACGCAACGAGCATAGCTGGAAAACAACTTGAGATTCACAAACACCTGAAGTCTCACCTGGGACTCGATGGGCAGCTGGTGAGTCATGAGGCGGAGGTAGTGTGCGAGCTGGTTGTGGGCCGTGATGATGATGCCCTCCCCACTTGAATCAAACTGTACTTTGATTTGGCACCAACCAACACACCTTGCAACCACTCGACAGTCACAATATCTCGACAGTCAAACTGATCTGAGGTACAGAACCACCTGACGCCACACCTGGGAGTTGTGAGCGAGCACCTGAGACTCTCCTCACCTGCGACTCGATGGGCAGCTGGTGGGTCATGAGGCGGAGGTAGTGGGCGAGCTGGCTGTGGGCCGTGATGATGATGCCCTCCCCACTCGAGTCAAACTGCGGCCGCCCTGCTCGACCGAATATCTGCACGTGAGGGAATGCACGAAAGTTCGCATAAAAGAGGTCTTTGAGTAGAATGGATTTAGATGTGGCGAGGTATTGGACTGTGTGAGCCTTGATGATGATGCCCTCTTGACTCGAGCCGAGCTAAACTGCGGCCGACCCCTTCCGCCTTAGAGTTTGCGAAAGAACTTAAAAACAAAAACCCAGGTTGAAACCTCTTTGTGACTGAGCTGAGTGGTGTAGGACCGAGAAGTCAGCAAACATTATGCGAATCTGAGCCATGCCACGTTAATAAAGGGCGACACAACAGCCAGCTTCACACGACGCAGCAGCTGCACTACACACCATGCATGGCCCCTGCATCCTTCCTTAACCCTGCATCACACCACACCACACGGCACCGCACTGCACACCGCATCATCTCTTCCCACTCACCTGCATCACATCCAGCATGCCCATTGCACCACATGGCACCGCACTGCACCCAGCCTCACCTGCATGACATCCAGCATGCCCAGCTCCCGGAAGCCGCCAACCTTGGCGTCATACAGCTGAGTGCTCTGTGGGTGCGGGGGGAGGGGAGATCGGGGATGGAGTGGGGAAGCGAAAGAGAAAGAAACAATTGAGGCATCAAGTAATGCCAACCTGACTATGTACAGTTGATTGCCCTGTGCGTGAAGGGGGGGGGGGGGCAAGGAGAGAAAATGCAGGAAGGATGAAGAGTGGGTTTGAGCGAAACCGTCCATGTATCTCGTCCAATGGGAAGGGGAGAAAATGTACTAGACTACACCTTGATCCAGCAGAGTAGGTTTGAGAATTCGTGATATTATCCTGTATAATAATCTTTCTTTCCTATGGGCTAGTCTGAGAGGAGCACCTTGATGATGACTGTGTGCGCTGGCAGATTGACTCCCCATGCCAACGTGGCCGTGCACACAAGCACCTGTGACACGAGAGAGGGAGGGGCGAAAGACATTGAGTAGACATCCCAATGTGGCCGTGCATAGAAGCAATTGTGACGGGATACGCAAAAGGACACGAATTAATGGGAGAGCAAGATTGCAATGTGCACCCACGCATACACTTATACCCTCACCTCATTGACGACATTCATGCTGCTGCCCAGACACATCGCACACCCTCCCATCTCAGATCTCACCTTGATGAGCCCCATGCTGAAGAGCTTCTCTGTGAGGGAGCGGTCGGGGCGCAGCATGCCGGCATGGTGGATGCTGCACAGCACCTTATGCACATGTATGTGTACACCCTCAAACCTACAGGCCTACGACCTCAATGCTACTGTTACACACACACACCCTCCCACCCTCACCTTGATGAGCCCCATGCTGAAGAGCTTCTCTGTGAGCGAGCGGTCAGGGCGCAGCATGCCGGCATGGTGGATGCCGAAACCAGCCTGGAACAGCTCCCCCATCTCCCTGTTGCGCGACCTCATCACGTCCTTCTGTTGTTGGGGAGAAGGAGAATGGGAGGGGAGGGGAGGGCGTGCAGGGGCAGGGGCAGGTGAGTGGGTGGATGTGGTGCATGCCGAAACCCGCCTGGAAGGGCCCCCCCATCTCCCTGCTGCATGAATGGATCACCATTCTGTTCTGATGCATGGAGGGGAGGACGTGCAGGGGTAGGGGTGAGTGAATGAGAAAGAGGAGCAAAGCAGAGGGAGGAGGGGACAGGAAAAAGAGCCCCCCCATCTCCTGTTGCACGACCATGTCATGTCCTCCTAATCCTCTCTTCCTCCATCAGCTTCCTTGCACTGCAACTGCCGCTATCCATTATTATATCGTACCTCCATGAGTTTGTACTGTGGTTGCTCCTGTGGGTTGAACAGCTCCGACTCGTCGTTCCTCTGCGCAGTCTCCATCTGGTGCCACCAGGGACAGGTGGTGACAGGTGGTGACAGGTGGTGACAGGTGGTGACAGGTGGTGACAGGTGGTGACAGGTGGTGCATTCAGGAACATGCGGCATGAAAAGAGACATAAACATGGAAGCTCATACGTGAAATGAGGAAGTTTTTGAGACGTCTCAGAAGCTCATACGTGCCCAAGATGGATACATCACAGCTGGTATCGGTACCACCAGATTCAATCAATGCACGCCAAAGCACACACATGAGTATTCCTGCGGTTTAACGATGCCTTTCCTGGAGTGCACAAACACCATCGCCTGCTTGCTGAGTCGACCCAGTGAAGATACTTATGAGTTTATGATTCATACCAACACAAGTATCATCACCATTAGTAATAGCACGGCACGCACCAGTATCCTTGCGGTCTTGACGGTGTCCTTAAGGGCGCAAACACCATCGCCTGCTTCTTAACGAGACTCAATGATGCGCATCCCTTCAGAGCAGCCACGTTTTACTGTGTATGACCAAGTGATATGCATGCATCTACACTACACGGCACGCACCAGTATCCTCGCGGTCTTAACGGTGTCCTTCCTGGAATGCACAAACACCATCGCCTGCTTCCCATTCTTCACCGCATTCATTGCCTGCCAAGGGGAAATAAGGGTCAAACAAGTCAGTCACACACACACAAAGCCACGCAGATAATCAGCTATCTCAGCAATCTCATTGCAGAACCATTTTCCAGGATATCTCCCAGCGAAGTTACTTCCCCTTCTTAATCACGTTAATTGCTTGCCAAAAGCGATATGGTTCAAGGCCGATATGCAGTGAAGAACCTGACCTGAGCATTCGAGTAATCAAGACTACGTGTGAGAGAGAGTGGTCCTTGGACGACTGAGTCGACTCAGATGCAATCTCGTGCATGCTTTTGAGTCGACTCAGATGCAATCTCGTGCATGCTTTTGAGTCGACTCAGATGCAATCTCGTGCATGCTTTTGAGTCGACTCAGATGCAATCTCGTGCATGCTTTTGAGTCGACTCAGATGCAATCTCGTGCATGCTTTTGAGTCGACTCAGATGCAATCTCGTGCATGCTTTTGAGTCGACTCAGATGCAATCTCGTGCATGCTTTTGAGTCGACTCAGATGCAATCTCGTGCATGCTTTTGAGTCGACTCAGATGCAATCTCGTGCATGCTTTTGAGTCGACTCAGATGCAATCTCGTGCATGCTTTTGAGTCGACTCAGATGCAATCTCGTGCATGCTTTTGAGTCGACTCAGATGCAATCTCGTGCATGCTTTTGAGTCGACTCAGATGCAATCTCGTGCATGCTTTTGAGTCGACTCAGATGCAATCTCGTGCATGCTTTTGAGTCGACTCAGATGCAATCTCGTGCATGCTTTTGAGTCGACTCAGATGCAATCTCGTGCATGCTTTTGAGTCGACTCAGATGCAATCTCGTGCATGCTTTTGAGTCGACTCAGATGCAATCTCGTGCATGCTTTTGAGTCGACTCAGATGCAATCTCGTGCATGCTTTTGAGTCGACTCAGATGCAATCTCGTGCATGCTTTTGAGTCGACTCAGATGCAATCTCGTGCATGCTTTTGAGTCGACTCAGATGCAATCTCGTGCATGCTTTTGAGTCGACTCAGATGCAATCTCGTGCATGCTTTTGAGTCGACTCAGATGCAATCTCGTGCATGCTTTTGAGTCGACTCAGATGCAATCTCGTGCATGCTTTTGAGTCGACTCAGATGCAATCTCGTGCATGCTTTTGAGTCGACTCAGATGCAATCTCGTGCATGCTTTTGAGTCGACTCAGATGCAATCTCGTGCATGCTTTTGAGTCGACTCAGATGCAATCTCGTGCATGCTTTTGAGTCGACTCAGATGCAATCTCGTGCATGCTTTTGAGTCGACTCAGATGCAATCTCGTGCATGCTTTTGAGTCGACTCAGATGCAATCTCGTGCATGCTTTTGAGTCGACTCAGATGCAATCTCGTGCATGCTTTTGAGTCGACTCAGATGCAATCTCGTGCATGCTTTTGAGTCGACTCAGATGCAATCTCGTGCATGCTTTTGAGTCGACTCAGATGCAATCTCGTGCATGCTTTTGAGTCGACTCAGATGCAATCTCGTGCATGCTTTTGAGTCGACTCAGATGCAATCTCGTGCATGCTTTTGAGTCGACTCAGATGCAATCTCGTGCATGCTTTTGAGTCGACTCAGATGCAATCTCGTGCATGCTTTTGAGTCGACTCAGATGCAATCTCGTGCATGCTTTTGAGTCGACTCAGATGCAATCTCGTGCATGCTTTTGAGTCGACTCAGATGCAATCTCGTGCATGCTTTTGAGTCGACTCAGATGCAATCTCGTGCATGCTTTTGAGTCGACTCAGATGCAATCTCGTGCATGCTTTTGAGTCGACTCAGATGCAATCTCGTGCATGCTTTTGAGTCGACTCAGATGCAATCTCGTGCATGCTTTTGAGTCGACTCAGATGCAATCTCGTGCATGCTTTTGAGTCGACTCAGATGCAATCTCGTGAATGCTTTTGAGTCGACTCAGATGCAATCTCGTGCATGCTTTTGAGTCGACTCAGATGCAATCTCGTGCATGCTTTTGAGTCGACTCAGATGCAATCTCGTGCATGCTTTTGAGTCGACTCAGATGCAATCTCGTGCATGCTTTTGAGTCGACTCAGATGCAATCTCGTGCATGCTTTTGAGTCGACTCAGATGCAATCTCGTGCATGCTTTTGAGTCGACTCAGATGCAATCTCGTGCATGCTTTTGAGTCGACTCAGATGCAATCTCGTGCATGCTTTTGAGTCGACTCAGATGCAATCTCGTGCATGCTTTTGAGTCGACTCAGATGCAATCTCGTGCATGCTTTTGAGTCGACTCAGATGCAATCTCGTGCATGCTTTTGAGTCGACTCAGATGCAATCTCGTGCATGCTTTTGAGTCGACTCAGATGCAATCTCGTGCATGCTTTTGAGTCGACTCAGATGCAATCTCGTGCATGCTTTTGAGTCGACTCAGATGCAATCTCGTGCATGCTTTTGAGTCGACTCAGATGCAATCTCGTGCATGCTTTTGAGTCGACTCAGATGCAATCTCGTGCATGCTTTTGAGTCGACTCAGATGCAATCTCGTGCATGCTTTTGAGTCGACTCAGATGCAATCTCGTGCATGCTTTTGAGTCGACTCAGATGCAATCTCGTGCATGCTTTTGAGTCGACTCAGATGCAATCTCGTGCATGCTTTTGAGTCGACTCAGATGCAATCTCGTGCATGCTTTTGAGTCGACTCAGATGCAATCTCGTGCATGCTTTTGAGTCGACTCAGATGCAATCTCGTGCATGCTTTTGAGTCGACTCAGATGCAATCTCGTGCATGCTTTTGAGTCGACTCAGATGCAATCTCGTGCATGCTTTTGAGTCGACTCAGATGCAATCTCGTGCATGCTTTTGAGTCGACTCAGATGCAATCTCGTGCATGCTTTTGAGTCGACTCAGATGCAATCTCGTGCATGCTTTTGAGTCGACTCAGATGCAATCTCGTGCATGCTTTTGAGTCGACTCAGATGCAATCTCGTGCATGCTTTTGAGTCGACTCAGATGCAATCTCGTGCATGCTTTTGAGTCGACTCAGATGCAATCTCGTGCATGCTTTTGAGTCGACTCAGATGCAATCTCGTGCATGCTTTTGAGTCGACTCAGATGCAATCTCGTGCATGCTTTTGAGTCGACTCAGATGCAATCTCGTGCATGCTTTTGAGTCGACTCAGATGCAATCTCGTGCATGCTTTTGAGTCGACTCAGATGCAATCTCGTGCATGCTTTTGAGTCGACTCAGATGCAATCTCGTGCATGCTTTTGAGTCGACTCAGATGCAATCTCGTGCATGCTTTTGAGTCGACTCAGATGCAATCTCGTGCATGCTTTTGAGTCGACTCAGATGCAATCTCGTGCATGCTTTTGAGTCGACTCAGATGCAATCTCGTGCATGCTTTTGAGTCGACTCAGATGCAATCTCGTGCATGCTTTTGAGTCGACTCAGATGCAATCTCGTGCATGCTTTTGAGTCGACTCAGATGCAATCTCGTGCATGCTTTTGAGTCGACTCAGATGCAATCTCGTGCATGCTTTTGAGTCGACTCAGATGCAATCTCGTGCATGCTTTTGAGTCGACTCAGATGCAATCTCGTGCATGCTTTTGAGTCGACTCAGATGCAATCTCGTGCATGCTTTTGAGTCGACTCAGATGCAATCTCGTGCATGCTTTTGAGTCGACTCAGATGCAATCTCGTGCATGCTTTTGAGTCGACTCAGATGCAATCTCGTGCATGCTTTTGAGTCGACTCAGATGCAATCTCGTGCATGCTTTTGAGTCGACTCAGATGCAATCTCGTGCATGCTTTTGAGTCGACTCAGATGCAATCTCGTGCATGCTTTTGAGTCGACTCAGATGCAATCTCGTGCATGCTTTTGAGTCGACTCAGATGCAATCTCGTGCATGCTTTTGAGTCGACTCAGATGCAATCTCGTGCATGCTTTTGAGTCGACTCAGATGCAATCTCGTGCATGCTTTTGAGTCGACTCAGATGCAATCTCGTGCATGCTTTTGAGTCGACTCAGATGCAATCTCGTGCATGCTTTTGAGTCGACTCAGATGCAATCTCGTGCATGCTTTTGAGTCGACTCAGATGCAATCTCGTGCATGCTTTTGAGTCGACTCAGATGCAATCTCGTGCATGCTTTTGAGTCGACTCAGATGCAATCTCGTGCATGCTTTTGAGTCGACTCAGATGCAATCTCGTGCATGCTTTTGAGTCGACTCAGATGCAATCTCGTGCATGCTTTTGAGTCGACTCAGATGCAATCTCGTGCATGCTTTTGAGTCGACTCAGGTGTTGCGGCGGGCGAAGTTGGGTTCAGAGACACCAATGTACTGCTGGGAGAGCTTTGAGCCGACTCTAAACACACCTTGATGAGTTAACTGAAAACACACCTTGATGAGTTAACTGAAAACACACCTTGATGAGTAAACTGAAAACACACCTTGATGAGTTAACTGAAAACACACCTTGATGAGTTAACTGAAAACACACCTTGATGAGTTAACTGAAAACACACCTTGATGAGTAAACTGAAAACACACCTTGATGAGTTAACTGAAAACACACCTTGATGAGTTAACTGAAAACACACCTTGATGAGTTAACTGAAAACACACCTTGATGAGTTAACTGAAAACACACCTTGATGAGTTAACTGAAAACACACCTTGATGAGTTAACTGAAAACACACCTTGATGAGTTAACTGAAAACACACCTTTTCGTATGCGATCTCGTGCATGAGAGTGTTGCGCCGGGCGAAGTTGGGTTCTGAGACGCCAATGTACTGCTGGGAGAGCGGCACGGGACGGTAGGATGCGTCGAAATAGAAGAGACCCGTGTCGAGGTTGACTCTCAGGAACTGAGCCACCTGTGGGTGTGTCAAGTGGGGGGAGGGTAGGGGAGATGGGAGGGGAGAAACAGCACAGGGAAGTGCCAGTCTGTCTCTGGGAGAGCGGCACGGGGCGGTAGGATGCGTCGAAATAGAAGAGACCCGTGTCCAGGTTGACCCGCAAGAATTGTGCTACCTGTTTGCGTGTGAAAGGGGGTTATGGGGAAACAGCACAGGGAGTTGCCAGTGTGTTGCTGGGAGAGCGGCAGGGGGCGGTAGGAGGCGTCGAAATAGAAGAGACCCGTGTCGAGATTGACCCGCAGGAACTGTGCAACCTGTGTGTCATAGGACGGGGGTGGGATGGGAGGAGGGGAAGGGGGGAGATGACATTGTCTTGACGTGAGAAGGGTTAGGGCGGTAGGATGCGTCGAAATAGAAGAGGCCCGTGTCGAGGTTGACTCGCAGGAACTGAGCCACCTGTGTGCATGTGGCACAAGGGGGAGGGGGGGGAAGGGGGAGTGGGTGGGGGGAAGGGGAGGGACAAAAGGAACTGAAGTAACGAAAATCAGACATTTCCTTCTGTACTCAGAGCAGAAACGTACGAGAAGATGCGGGGGGGACCGAAGAGACGATGGAGCAATAATGGCCACAGGGAAGGCAACGAAGAGAAGTGTCGGACAGGTGAGCCCAGCAGCTCAGCAGCCCAGCAACCCGGCAGCCCATCACCCAAGCAGCCCATCAGCCCAGCAACCCAGCAACCCAGCAACCCATCAGCAGCCCATCAGCTTACCTCTGTGTAGTTTGGCAGCGTTGCCGAAAGCCCCACAATGCGAATCATACTCTGTGAGCTCTCCACCTGCGCTCAATGTGGCACACACACGCACACACAGAGCAACCACGATGGTACATGGATGTCGGCCGGTCCATGAGTGATCTCATCACCATGTTACATCAACCATGCCGCATGGTCCACAATAGGTCGACCACACCAGACGCATGGTCGGGAAGATGGGAGATGATGGGATAGAGCAAGCAAGTAAGATGCGCGCCCCCAGACTTCTTGAACCAGACTGAGTGGCCACTTGCCTTACAGGGCTTTCGCCGCCCACCTATCTGCCGCCCACCTATCTGCCGCCCACCTATCTGCCGCCCACCTATCTGCCGCCCACCTATCTGCCACCCACCTATCTGCCGCCCACCTATCTGCCGCCCACCTATCTGCCACCCACCTATCTGCCGCCCACCTATCTGCCGCCCACCTATCTGCCGCCCACCTATCTGCCACCCACCTATCTGCCGCCCACCTATCTGCCGCCCACCTATCTGCCGCCCACCTATCCGCCGCCCACATCTCGGCCACTCACATCACTGCCGCCCACACTTCTGCTGCCCACCTGTCTTAAGGTGCGCGCTACCAGCGTCTCAATCACGGGTCCGCGGTCGTCATTCAGCAGATGCACCTCGTCAATCACGAGCAGGCGCAGCAGCGAGGCCAGCAGCACAGCACATGTGAGCAGCGGATGCATCTAATCTAATGGATCAGCACCACCCTGTTGTTTCAGTCAGCTCACCACCCACCTACCTGTCTCAACGTGCGCGCTACCAGCGCCTCAATCACGGGCCCGCGGTCGTCATTCAGCAGATGCACCTCGTCAATCAACACCAGCAGGCGTTTTCTAAGATTCAACTACCACTTGCCCCTTTCAAGTCATTCGGCACCCACCTGTCTTAAGGTGCGCGCCACAAGCGTCTCAATCACGGGCCCGCGGTCGTCATTCAGCAGATGCACCTCATCAATCACGAGCAGGCGCACCAGCAACGCCAGCAGCAGCACATGTGAGCAGCGGATGCATCTAATCTAATGGATCAGCAGCACCCTGTTGTTTGAGTCAACTGAACACCCACCTGTCTCAAGGTGCGCGCTACCAGCGCCTCAATCACGGGCCCGCGGTCGTCATTCAGCAGATGCACCTCGTCAATCACCAGCAATTGCACCAGCAGTGCCAGCACCACAGTGCTAGTGTTAGCCTTCAATCTCACACTTTGTACTTTGTATTTTCTATATCCTAGAGTAGTGTAGTTTGCACATTGTGTTTGGTTGGGTGTACACCTACATCCCAACCAAACCCAAATGTAATCTCCAAGCAATCTCCAACCCACCAATTGGAGATTGCCTTGGGATTACCCCCAATCCCTAGGGATTGCCTCTGATTCCATTCCCCAACTATTCCTTACCCTTCTCGGATGTACTTAAAGAGCTTCAAGCTCATTACTAATGTATCGCTTCTAAGCCTAAGTTCTAACATGGTATCAGAGGGCTACGTCCGCACATGCGGATCGTGATCCTCCTATCTATGCGGATGTTCTTCCCGCAAACCTCGGCATAGCCTCCTTCAATCTCGTCGCCGTCGATTCGCGACATTCGTGGGCGGAAATTCCCCCGCACCACTTTCCCGTCAACTTCGACGACGTCTTCAATTTCTATGGTACGCTCATCGACGTCGCTCTAACTTATCGTTCCTTTTTCGTCATCTCTCAATTTCGTCACCGCGTCACCTCTTCTCGTCGGGCCACCGCCCGTCGCCCCGCAGCTTCCCGTCGGGCCGCCGCCCGTCGCCCCGCTGCTTCTCGTCGGGCCGCCGCCCGTCGCCCCGCAACTTCTCGTCGGGCCGCCGCCCGTCGCCCCGCTGCTTCTCGTCGGGCCGCCGCCCGTCGCCCCGCAACTTCTCGTCGGGCCGCCGCCCGTCGCCCCGCAGCTTCTCGTCGGGCCGCCGCCCGTCGCCCCGCAACTTCTCGTCGGGCCGCCGCCCGTCGCCCCGCATCTGCACTTCTACCCCCATTCCCCTTTTCCCGCAGCTGAACAGGTGCAGCAGCGCAGCCGAGCAGCAGAGTAGCCGCGAAGCCGTGCAGCAGCGTAGCCGCGAAGCTGAGGGTGGTGTGTGGGGGGGTGTGTGGGATTAGGGTTAGATCTACGGAAGTCGGCCGATTTTACCTAGTTTTGGCGGCCTAGAAAATCCTTCTACGAGGCATCCCGACGCGGTCGACATTGACGATTTTCGCTATTTGGGGTCCGTCGAATTTCGAAATCGCCGCGCTGCGCGGTGACTTAAGAGCGGCGCTTCGCGCGAGACACCAAGGGATCTCCAGCATGGCCTTCACCGCGTCCACCATGGCCAACCCCATCACCCCACTCCGTCTTGAAGCCGATGGCTCTAGCTCCAACTTCAAGGCATGGAGCTATGGGGTTGACAAGCACCTACTGAGCCGTGACGTGCAGGGATTGGACCTCAAGGATGTCCTCCTCAACCGTGGCAAGGGAAAACAGCCCCTTCCCCCTCGTGAGCCGACCGAATCCGCTAGTGAGGCTGACACTAGGGCATATGAGGAAGCCGTTGAGAAGTACCGGAAGTGGGAGAAGGCCGATGCTGCTATTATCAGCGTCTTCATCGCCTCCACCCCTCCAGAACTTGTCAACACGTTCCATAACTACCCTACCTCCAACGCCATCTGGAAGTATCTCCAGGATCGGTTCATGAACAAGACTGCAGTCGGAGTTGCCATCCTCATCCCCAGCATGTTCCAGGTCCGCCTTGAGGATTGCTCGGGAATGGCCGACTACATTGCCAAGGTTCAGACCATTCATGGCGAACTCAAGGAGCTGGGTATAGTCTTCCCCGAACAAGCCCCTGCAGCAGCTCTTCTTGTTGGCCTCACCACAGCCTACGAAATCACAAGGAAGATGCTCCTCACGCTGACTGCGGAAGACCTCACTTTTGCCAAGGTCTCCACCGCACTCCTCTCTGCCGAGAAAGACTCCACGGCTCAAGCCAAGGCCTACGCCATCCGTGCTCCCATGCCTCAAGCAAGTGTCGCAGCGGCCCTTGCCTCGGCGCCCTTCCAGCGCAATCGCTTCCCACCGTGCACCTACGTCGTCAAGTATGGCAACCGCAAGGGACAAGTGTGTGGTGGCACTAACCACCCCCCTGCTACGTGCTTCAAGAAGAAGGACGACGAATGGTACGCCATCCACGGCATAGACAAGAGGCCACCGAACTGGATGCGTGCGCGTAAGGCCAACCTGGTTGAGGTCCAGGACCCCGCTTCGGCTAGTGCTAGTGATAGTGCTCCTGCTGATGTGCGTATCAACCTGTTGTTCCCTGGCACTGCCATGATTAATGAAGCTTCCTCCCAGTACCTCGGCTCATCACAAGCACCACAATACATAGAGTTCACACTAGACAGCGGCGCCACTCACACTGTGCTCAAGGAGACACTCTCCTTCAAACCCTACGCAACACCCATCCCCCTCCTAGGAGCTGACTCAAGCTTCACCACTCTTGCCAAGGGTTCATCCACAGTCCCGTGCCCCGCCTTCCCTTCCGGCACTGTCACTGGAATGTGCGTGCCTTCACTCCGCCACAATCTCGTGGCCCAAACGGAAATTCAGGAAGCTGGGCTACGCACCATCTTCTGGGAGAACGAGAACTATGGTGATATCCTCGACCCACTCACCAACAAGGTCTTGACTCGTTTCACCCTCAACAGCAGCGGCCTTTACACGCTGCAAGTACCCATCCCACAGGTGTCAACCACCCAAACAGAGGCAACTACCTCACCATGCTCGTGCCGCAGTTTCTCCAACCCGACCATACTCTACCACCATCGGCTCGGGCACCCAAACTTCCGCACACTTGCTGACATGGCCTCCAAGAAACTTCTACTCGGCCTGCCAGCCTCACTTCCTCCACCACCAGACTCCCCCGCTCCCACATGCCTTGACTGCACCAAGAGCAAACTGCGTCAACAGCCCCACCCGGCCTCACCCTCTGTCGCAGCAGCACCACTGGACTTGGTACACCTGGACGTCTGGGGCCCTGCCCCTGTTCCCGCACGAGGTGGTTATCGCTACTTCCTTGTTATCGTCGATGACCACTCTCGCTACGTCTCTGTTCACCTCCTCCACACTAAGGCTGCGGTTCCAGAGGTCCTCATGGCGTGGGTTAAACAGGCACAGACCACCTTTGACCGCAAAGTCAAGCGCCTTCACTCGGATGGTGGTGGTGAGTTTTGCAACGACAAGCTCAAAGCCTTCTGCTCCTCAGAAGGCATCCAGCAAAACTTCACCCTCCCTGACAGCCCGCAGCAGAACGGCATAGCTGAGAGCCGCAACCACACCCTGGTGCAGATCACTCGGTGCCTCCTCGGCCACTCCAACGCTCCGCACTCTCTCTGGGGGTACGCTCTCTACCACGCCGCCCTCCTCTGCAACCTTTACCCCCACCCGCATCTTCCCGACACCACTCCAACCACACTCTGGCTCGGGAAAACGCCCACTGCTCGCTCCCTTCGCGTTTGGGGGTGCACCGCCTATGTCCTCCTCAACCCTCAGGCTCGACGGCAGCACGGCGGCAAGCTCGGCCCCAAGACCCAGACGTGCATCTACCTCGGGCACAACGCCGACTCGCCTGACTACCTCTTCCTCAACCCCTCCACTCAACAGTTGGTCCGGAGCCGTGACGTTGTCTTTGATGAGACCCGCCCATTCTACCCCACCTCGGGACGGGACCCTCTCTCTGATCCACCCTCCCTCGTGTGGGCAGACTTTGATGCGCCTCCTGACCTCCCGCCTGCTCCGGCCCCTTCACCTCCTACCCCTCCTGCCACCGCACCGTCCCCCTCTGAGGTCTCTGACCCGCCCTCACCGGTGTCTTCGGCAGCAGCTGCTCCTCCCTCCCCCTCACCTGCCGCCCTGCCATCTGCGCCGCCACCTCCGAGCGCACCAATCACATACCATCGGCGGTCGCACCCTCCGGCCCCACCTCCTCCCCCAGTCCCCCCTTCCTCCCAGGCACCCGCTCCTCCACAGCCGCCCGAACTGATCACGTACAAGCGGCGGCCAATTCCCCCGCCCAAGCCTCCTAAGTCAATCCCTCAGACACCGCCTTCTCCGCCCTCCTCTCCGGTAGCCCATGGCACTCGCTCGCACGGCCCTGCTCCTCCTCTGGCCCTGGCTATTCGTTGCTCCACGATCACTTCGACTCCTCCTGCCGGGGGGGATGTGCCCTCTACCCTTCTGGAAGATAGGCATGAGGAGCTTTATGATCTTCACGCAGTCATTCCCCAGCTCTCGCACATCTTCCCTGACATCACTGAATCACCCTCACTCAACTTCACGGAAAACCCGACCATCCCTATCCCTCTCACCGTCCAAGAGGCTCTCTCAGGCCCTCATGCTGCCGAATGGCGTGCTGCCATGGAAGCGGAGATTGAAGCATTCACCCGCAACCACTCCTTCGACGACGAGACTCCACCTCCAAGAGTCAACATCGTCGGAGGCAAGTGGTTGTTCCGTGTAAAACAACTCCCAGACGAGGCCCCGGTGTTCAAAGCGCGTTACGTAGCCAAGGGCTTCACCCAGCAGCAGTACCGCGACTTCTTCCTAACCTTCTCCCCCACATCCAAACCTCCCACCATTCGTACGCTCATGGATGTCGCAGCTCGAGAAGACTTTGAGATCAAATCCATGGATGCCTCATCTGCCTTCCTACAAGGACGTCTCAAGGAGACAGTGTTCATGGACAGACCTGAAGGCTTCCCAGGAGAATTCCCTCCCAACACTGTCTGGAAGCTGAATCGCCCCGTCTACGGCCTTAAGCAAGCCCCTCGCGAATGGCACAACAAGGTGAAAGAAGTCCTCCTCTCCCTGGACTTCCACCCTTCATCTGCTGACCCGACTCTCTTCATCCGCCGTCATTCTGAGCCATTCTACATCCTGGTCTACGTGGATGACTTCATCCTCGTTGCCAAGGACTCGGCCCAGATGACCTCTGTCCAGGCAGCCCTGAGCAAGGCCCTCCAGATGAAAGACCTCAGTGACCTCAAGCACTACCTGGGGATTGAGATCACTCGTGATCGCCAGGCTCGCACCATTTCACTCTCCCAGGAGTTCTACATCGACAATGTGCTCAAGCGGTTTGAGATGGAGCTGTGCACACCTGTTGCCACCCCGCTGCCGCTGCAACACCTCCTCACAGCTCCAGCTGTACCCACACCAGAGGCCTGCTCTGAGCCATACCCGGAGCTTGTTGGGTCTCTCATGTACGCCATGATGTGCACCCGGCCGGACTTGGCCTATCCTGTCAGTGTCCTCTCTCGCTACGTGGCCCCTGGACGCTTCACTGATCTTCACTGGAAGGCGGCGAAGCGGGTGCTGCGCTATCTTCAGGGCACCAAGTCTCACGTTCTCACACTCGGTGGGCTCTCCCCTCCTCGCCTGGAAGGTTACACCGACTCCTCCTGGGCTGATGACCAGACCGACGGACGCTCCTCTCAGGGGTACTGCTTCACCCTTGGGAGCGGAATTGTCAGTTGGCGCTCCACCAGGTCGTCTGCAGTCTCCCTCTCCTCATGTGAGGCAGAGCTCTACGCAGGCACCATGGCTGCTCAGGAGGCCCGTTGGCTCACCTTCCTACTCCAGGAGCTTGGTTTCCCACAGTCCGCCCCCACCCTCTGGTGTGACAACCAGAGTACCATCCACATCTCTCAAGACCCTGTGTATCACACCCGCACCAAGCATATTGAACTCCGGCACTTCTTCATCCGTGACCTTGTCCAGCAGGAGCAGTTGAAAGTGGAGTACGTTGCATCTGACTGCAACCTGGCTGATCTGTTCACCAAGCCCCTTGGGAAAGTTCCCCACCACCGTCTCCTTGGCGCCATGGGGCTCGGTGCTCCACCCTCTCTGCCCTGAGTTCGATTGACGCCTCTGGGGGGGTGCTAGTGTTAGCCTTCAATCTCACACTTTGTACTTTGTATTTTCTATATCCTAGAGTAGTGTAGTTTGCACATTGTGTTTGGTTGGGTGTACACCTACATCCCAACCAAACCCAAATGTAATCTCCAAGCAATCTCCAACCCACCAATCGGAGATTGCCTTGGGATTACCCCCAATCCCTAGGGATTGCCTCTGATTCCGTTCCCCAACTATTCCTTACCCTTCTCGGATGTACTTAAAGAGCTTCAAGCTCATTACTAATGTATCGCTTCTAAGCCTAAGTTCTAACACACAGCACAACTGAGACTGAGCATATGCAACTGGAGGGGCGGCAGCAGCCTTTTGAGTCGACTCAACACCCACCTGCCTCAAGGTGCGCGCCACCAGTGTCTCAATCACAGGCCCGCGGTCGTCATTCAGCAGATGCACCTCGTCAATCACCAGCAATTGCACCAGCGATGCCATTCACACAACACATCTAAACTTTTGCATCTGGAGGGGCAGCAGCAGCCTTTCGAGTCATTTATAACACCCACCTGTCTCAACGTGCGTGCAACCAGCGTCTCAATCACGGGCCCGCGGTCGTCATTCAGCAGATGAACCTCGTCAATCACGAGCAGGCGCACCAGCGACGCCATCGATACATCTGAGCTCTTCCTCGTAATGACATCCCACTTCTCAGGAGTTGTTACTATCATCTGAAGCACGTGGGTGAGAGGGGAGGGCAGGGCAGCAACAGCATCTCAGCAGATGAACCTCGTCGATCACCAGCAGGCGCACCAATGATGCCATTGATACATCGGAGCTCTTCCTCGTGATCACATCCCACTTCTCGGGTGTTGTCACGATCATCTGAAGCAAGAAGGTGGGGGGAGAAGGGGGGAAACGGGGAGAACGCCTCAGCAGATGCACCTCGTCGATCACCAGCAGGCGCACCAGCGACGCCATAGACACGTCTGAGCTCTTCCGTGTTATCACATCCCACTTCTCGGGGGTTGTCACAATCATCTGAAACACGTGTGAGGAGGGGTGAAGAAATTGGGAGAGCATCACAACAGGTACCTGCTAGTAATCACCAGCAGCCGCACTAGCGACGTCACCTCAGGTCACCTCTCGCACCGCCAGGTGTGGTGCAGGCATGTCTGGCGATGCACCTCAAAGTTCAAATGACAGACAGCCCCCTCTCTCCCCCTCACCTGCAACTCAAAAATCTCCCTCTTTGTCAGCTGCAAGTTGCCAGTCAGCTCTTACATCACCAGGTGAGGTGCATGTCTGGCGCTGCACCTCAAACCACATCCCCTCCTTCCCTGCCTTCCATGCGATACAAACAACGCCTCACCTGCGTCTCTTCCATCTCCCTCTTGTTCAGCTGCATGTCGCCAGTCAGCTCTCGCACCGAAAGGCCCAGAGGGGCCAGCCGCCTCCCAAACGCCGCTGCCATCTCCGCTGCTAGCGCCTGATGGTGTGGGGATGGGGGAAGAAGTGGGGGGGGGGGGCAAAAGTTACTCAAAAGTTTGTCGCCATTAGGCCCAGAGGGGCCAGCCGCCTCCCAAACGCAGCTGCCATCTCCGCTGCTAACGCCTGGTGGGAGGGATGGGGATCACACAAGCCTTTTGAGGCGCCTAATAAAACACAAAGACATGCATGGTCAAGATCGAGAGGAAACAGTGGGCAGGCAGCTCAAGTCAAAATTCAAGCATGCAGCATGCAGCATGCCATGCAAACGACACCCACTTCTTCCAGCAACCCTGGGCTTACAAACACAAGACAACCCACCCCACTTCTTTCTTCTTCCTACATTTATAAAGCCTCTTGTGTAGCGTCCTCTCTTGCCTCACCAACACCCACCCACCTTCATGGGAGCCACATAGACGATCTTGAAGTCGTTCTCCTTCAGCACCCCGTTCTTGAAGTTGGCTCCCATTTGAGGCGCCTCAAAAGACCCTACGTTTGCCGCACCACCACCCACCCACCCACCTTCATGGGAGCCACATAGACGATCTTGAAATCATTCTTCTGCAGCACTCCGTTCTTGAAGTTGCAAACAAAGCTTGCTCACCGCTGTGCCTACTCTTGCCACACCACCCACCCACCCACCTTCATGGGAGCCACGTAGACGATCTTGAAATCGTTCTCCTTTTCTTCATACTACGTGTGTGAACCCTCTCGTGCTGCGCCCTACTCTTGCCGTACCACCACCACCCACCCACCCACCTTCATGGGAGCCACGTAGACGATCTTGAAATCATTCTTCTGCAGCACTCCGTTCTTGAAGTTGGCTCCCACCTGTAATGGACGAACGATGGATGAGTGAGTGGAGTACAGTAGTAAGTATAGCACTTGGACCAGCGATGGTTGGGTCACCCACCATGGGTGTGTGATGTGATGTGAATGTGGGTCACCCACCATGGGTGTGTGATGTGCTGTGAATGTGGGTCACCCACCATGGGTGTGTGATGTGATGTGAATGTGGGTCACCCACCATGGGTGTGTGATGTGCTGTGAATGTGGGTCACCCACCATGGGTGTGTGATGTGCTGTGAATGTGACGTAAAGTTCAGAATTCGGTATTGAACTGAAGAACACTACCTTGTACAGAGCTGGTGAGAAAAAACTCAACGTTAAACATCTTGAACCCCTTATCTTCACCTTACATCCAAAGCAAAGAAAAGTGCCGCCATCTACACCACACCATCCGTCGGCGGTACACCAGCAAATCATCTCCTCACCTCATGCAGAACTGTGATCATAGCAATGTTGGTCTTGCCTGCCCCGGTGGGCGCACACACCTGTGAAAGGGGTGAGAAACGACCAGGCTTTTAGATTATTTAAATAGAAAACAAAAGAAATGTCGCCAATGGGTTTAGGGTTCAGGTTTAGGGTTTGAATTCCAATATGTGGCTCTGGATGTGGTTGAGCGTTTGAAAGCCCATGCACATGCAGCTCCTCATACCCTTTATACGCCCTCCTCTCATTATACACACCAGACGATTCTCATTCGAGTAGAAAACGCGCTGATAAATGCGGCTCTGGATGTGGTTGAGCATCTGGAATCCCATACACCTCCTCATACCCCTTATAAGCCTTTTCCTTACTAGAAGATTCTCATTGGAGTAAAAAGCGCGCTGGTAGATGCGGCTCTGAATGCGGTTGAGTGTCTGAAACCCCTCAAACGCCTTCTGAGCAAACGGCTCCATTTCCCCCACCCTCACCAGCTTCTCCTGTGCTCTCCCCGCCGCCCCCTCCGCCGTTGCGGGCGGCACATGCACCTCCTCATACCCCTTATAAGCATTCCTCTTAGTACCCACAGGCAGCGCCCTTACAGGCACAGCATCGTCCCCTGTGCCTATCAGAGCATCAATCACCCCTCCAACTTTATTCTCCCCAGCCTCCACCAGTGCTGAAAACCCCCCTGCGCCTAGCAACCATGCTAGCTCCCCCTCAACCCCCCCTCTCCCCGCCCCTCCTCCCCCCACTCCCCCTCCTCCTCCGGTTTTCGCTGCAGCACGGGCGATTTTCTTGTCCTCTTTCTTTCGGAGCTTCTCCAGCTGTTTCTCTGACTCGGTCTGCACGGTGACTGTAGCGCCGTGCCGCATGTGGCTGTTGCTGGCACTGCTGCTTGCTGCGTCCGCCTCCACTGCTTCTTTCAGGGCTGACAGGGCCGACTGAGCTGCAGACACCAGCGCCTTGCGATGCTGGTGGAAGAGGGGAGGGAGAGGGATTGGGGACACGGGAGGAAGGGGGGTGTGACTGTCTCGACTGCCTTCTTCAGAGCTGACAGGACTGTGCTGCGAACACAAGAGCTTTGAGGTACAAGGTTTGGAAATACTGAGGTACAAGGTGTTGCTTCCTAGCAGGCACGATTGGTACCAGTTCAGCGTGCACGCAAATCATACCTGCAGCAGCTGCTGGATGAACTCGAAGCCTTGGTCGCCCACCAGGTTGAATTGAACAGCTCACCTGCATGCGTACCTGCAGCAGGCATGCTTTGTACCAGTTCAGCGTGCATGCAATGGTACCTGCAGCAGTTGCTGGATGAACTCAAAGCCTTGATCGCCTACCAGGTTGAACAGCTCACCTGCGACCTGGTTGCACACAAACACACACACATGCACATGCACACACGCACATGCACATGCACATGCACACGCACACGCACATGCACACGCACACGCACATGCACATGCACACATGCACATGCACATGCACACGCACACACGAACATGCACATGCACATGCACACGCACATGCACATGCACATGCACACGCACATGCACATGCACACGCACACGCACATGCACATGCACACGCACATGCACACACACACGCACACGCACACGCTCATGCACATGCCCATGGACACATGCATGGGCACATGCATTCACACATGCACAACAAAGACACATGCAGACACATGCACATGGATGGGCACAGGCAGGCAAGCATGCACATACGCACACACACCCAAGAACGCACGCATGGATGCATGCATGCGTGCGCACACATAAACACAGACCTCAGTGATTGCATGAGCTTGAACACAGCCGGAGACAGACGAACACAGAGGCACGCACACCCCTCAACACCCCTTCTCCCTCCTCTCCCGCCCCATCCCTACCTCGTCTCCAGACCCGGGTGATTGCATGAGCTTGAGCACCGCCATTGACAGCTCGTCAGCAGTGAGTTGACACCCCTCCCCTCAATATTGGTACGCAACTCAACATGGTCCCCAGACAATCCCTGGTCACACACTCAACGCCTCCTCCATACCTCATCTCCAGACCCGGGTGATTGCATGAGCTTGAGCACCGCCAGAGACAGCTCATCAGCAGTCAGCTGCGCGCCTCCCCCCCACTGAGCCGCCTCCACACACGACTGGTGCAGCCACCTCAGGTCCCGCGGGCCCTCCTCCCCCTCCTTACTCCCACCAACATCACCACCACCAGCACCATCAGCAGCGCTATAAGCACCACCAGAGACGTCAGGAGAAGCACCTGTAACAGCCGTTTCATGTGTGAAACGGTGCTCTGGCACCTGGGCCTGCACCTGGGCTGGCACCTGAAAATCCACCTGAGAATCCACCTGAGCCTGCGCCTGAGTGCGGGCCCTGGCCTCCTCCCAGAACTGCTGCAGCAGCTGGTTACCATCTAGGCCGGCACCAGGCACCTGAAACGGCACGTCCGCACCGAACATGAAGGAGTCTGAAGGTTCTTGGTGCGGTGCAGAGCGGTGCTGGTGGTGGTGGTGCGGTTGGGGGTGGTGGGCGCGCTGCCAGGCGAGCAGCTGGAGGGTAAGAGAAGCGGTTCGGCGGATGAGGGGAAGGTCGGAGGAGACAAGACCGAGGAGGTCGGAGAGAGCAGATCTGGAGGGGAACAACAAGGGATAAGGGTGGATGGATGGATGCAAACACACAATGGTCAACAGGGTCTTGGGTGTAGGAAAAACTGAGGTGCGCTGCCAGGCGAGCAGCTGGAGGGAAAGAGAGGCTGCTCGGCGGATGAGGGGAAGTTCGGAGGAGACAAGACCGAGGAGGTCAGAGAAAGCAGATCTGGAGGGAGAAGAGGGACGAAAGGGAGATGCAGAAACAACAGCGGAACGGGGTCAGACCAAGGAGGGTGAAGGGATGATCTCCTACAACATCAACCGCGGCCGATCCCCTCCCCCCTGGACCTCCCTATTGAGGTTCAGGGCCTGAGACAAAACCTGACCTGAGTGGGCACCTGAACATGCAATCACACCAAACCATAACATGCAACCCCACCCACCTTATGCTGCCCAGATCAGCATCTGAGAGCGAATCTGCCTCACTCAATGCCCCGGCAAGACCATCCGATTGGCTTCCATCCTCCCCTCCCTCCCCTTCCCCTGCCTGCTTCGCCCGCCTTGCTCTGAGCTGGCGGTCAATGCAGTCAAACGCAGCCCCGGCTGCCTCATGCAGGTCGGCAGAAGAGACCTCCGTGGCGAGCAGTGATTGGATGGCCACCAGGAACGACTCGTATGCCTCACGCACACTAGCAGGGGCTGTAGGGTAGTGAGCGGAAGGGAAACGGGAAGGGCGCGGATGCGAGAGAATGGGAGGCGGGACACTGAGCAGTGATTGGACGGCCACTAGGAACGACTCGTACGCCTCTCGCACACTAGCGGGGGCTGTAGAAAATGGGGAAGAGAAGAAAAGGGGAGGGGAAGGGGAAGGAGGCAGATGGGGGGGAGGGGGACGGGAGACGGGACAGTGAGCAGTGATTGGACGGCCACCAGGAACGACTCGTATGCCTCTCGCACACTAGCGGGAGCTGTAGAAATAGGGTAAGGGGACGCAAAGGAAGGGGAAGGGAACAGAACGGAAGGGGAAGGAAAAGGAGATTCTTCACCAATTTCACCAAATCTTCCAGATCCCGCCATGCCATCACCAGTAACAGTACCACAGTCACATCAATAGGATATAGTTCCCATCAACGGCTCACCTTTCTCCCACTCAGGAACCAGTCGCTGCGCCAGTGTCGTGGCACCCACTGCTGGTGCCACGTGGCCTGCTTCTGCTGACGTGGCGCCAGCCGAGCTGCTTCAGAACAAAGAAGAAGGCCATGGGAATGTGCGGGAAGGAAAAATGTGAGACAGTTGTGCTGCAAAAGGGTGAGTATGTGGATCAGTTGATCGACATGTAACAAGAGAAATGAAACAAAACGAAACAACCAAAGAGAGTCTTGACATGAAAAGAACAAACGGAGGTGCAATGCAACCAGGTGTCAGTAACGCTCGCACATACCACCCACGTACTGCAGTTCGTTGATCTCCCTGAATTGCCACGTCGGTCACTCACGAATCGACTACTGTCTGGTAACCACGTTTTTCGTACCTTCGCAGCGCGAGAGCCTGTTTTCGCTGCAGCAGCTGTTGATCCACGTCGAAGGGACGCCCGCCATCTCGCACCAACACTCGCAGCGTCGACGTCACTCGCGGGACCTCCAACGACGTGCCTACAATTTCGCCGAACGCCATTGTTACCAGACCAGCGAGTTGCGAATCCGGTAAGCGACGTCGCGATGAGGTACGCAACAGCTGCGATGGGGTAAGCGACAGATGCGATTGTTATGTATGATAGAAGTGCGATTCGTAGCTATAATAGAGGTGTGCGACTACGAATGGTAGCTGTGCGACTGTGAACGACAGGTACTATGCGGCTAAACGGCAGCTATGCGACGATGAAGGACAGCCAGGCGACTATGACACTTCTGCTGGTGAAAGAAGTGTAGCTGAAGGCTCTAATGGCGGAGATTGGGCAAATCGCGACACGAATTTGGCTCTGCAACTCGTGATTGATAGAATGGAGAGAGACTAATGTAAGCAAGCAAAGATGCGAGGAGATGGGAAGGAAAGGGTACGACGTCAGATACGTGAAGGAAGCGCAATGGAATGAGGAGGGGCGGTCAACAGGCGAATCTATTGCTGCGATGAGAAGCGTAAAATCCTTGAGAGCTCATGGTTGAGTCCTCTATGGCTTGCTGAAATAAAAAATAAATCCGCGTTTCTAAAACTGCGTGTCATTGCACATTGCTGTTCGCGAATGCAAACTGCTGTCGAGTTGACAAGACGGCCAAAAAACGAGTGCGATCAGATGGTGGCGAATTATACTGGCGTCGCCTACAACTTCGTGGAGGGAAACAAACCTGTCAAATCGCAGGTGTGTTTTTTTTTTTTTTTTTTTTTTTTTTTTTTTTTTTAGGTAATTGTTATGTACACCGAACGAAACAAGCATACATAGACAATAACAGTGAGGTGAACCTTCCCGTGCCGAGTCTCCCTGCAGGGAGTCACCGAAGCTGATGGACGACGCTAAGTTCGGACCGGGTCAAGGCTTGCACACACTGCACCGCAAGGTACATGCCCGCCACGCCCTGCCATGCCGTCCTGTGCTCTGCCATGCCATGCCATGCAACGAAAATCGCAGGAGTGTGATTACCAAAGAGGTCACAAATTTTCGTTCGTGCACTCAACGGGTCGTCGCAACCTGGTGTCGCTGACACGATGCGGGAATGAGTTGCTGTAACCCGAAAATATGGTACAGCCGCATGTTTCAAAAATCTTTCGACTCGGGAATCCCAAGGCTCCGGACTGAACCACCCAAAAAGCTCGACAAAACCCTAATCGAACCTGGGTGCCGCGGACTGCCACCGACATGTGTCGTATCAAACGCGACCTCGCTCGCTACGTTCCGACCAAATTCCCATTCGAGTTACAGGAATAACGAGCTGATTCCAGGTTATAATTTTGTTGGTACCTCCCTAAATACCTAGATAGAAGCATTTCTAGGGTAGTTCCACGTGCCGGCACTTACTGAAGTACGACGAGTCGACCGAGCGTGCCGGTACAGGATTTAACCGAAACGTTTCCACGTCTTTCGGGGCCCTTTAAGATCGCATCGCTCTCCTCATAGCGCCGTTTTGAACCCCCACGCTTTCCGTAATCCACCAGGTGCGAATGCCACTCTGCGAGTGCGTTGTCTTGCGGCTTAGTCTAACGTAGTCCCCCCCCCCCCCGACCGCCTCATGCACTCATCCCTGCCGCGATCTACTCACCGCTCATTCGTGTCCCCGTCGTCCTGATCGACACCCAGCCGTCAACCTCTTTCCCCCCGTCACCATCCTTCCCCACTCGCCCTGCTCTCGTTGCCACGCCCACGCATCGCTCCCCCATCCCCTTTCGAGTCGACTTAAAAGAGGTTACTTTGGAGTCGATTGGAAAAGAGGAGCACGATGACGAGGTGCTTCCATCCGCTCGTCATCGTGCTCCTCCTTTGTCGCAAAATCGTGCAGCCCTGCGACTCCTCTCAATCGTGCGACTCCCACCCTCTGCTTGCGCCGGCCCCCCCTCTCCGTTGGGACTCTCCGCGCGCCTCCTTCGCGCTCAAGTGATGCCCCCAACGTTTTTCTCCTTCACCTTTCCCCTCCCTTTTCCCCTTCCCCTTCTCCTCCCCCTTCGCCCTCACATTTCCCCTCTCGTGTCCCCTCCCCCGTCCCCTTCATTTTTCCTCCTCTCTCCCCTCCCTCTTCTCCATCCCCGTTTTCCTCCTTCTTCTCCCTCCTCTTTCCGCTCCCCCCTCCCTTGCCTTTCCCCTCTTCCCCCTTTCCCTCCCCCTTCTCCCTCCCCTTTCTCCGACCAAGTTGGAGGTGGTGGTGGCGTGGTGGTGGTGGTGGACTGGTTCAAGTCATGCCTCCCTTCCCATCCCTTCCCCCTCCCATCTCCACCTCCCCTCCAAACTTCAGTGCACACCCACACACGCGCGCATCCGCGTGCACTATACACACAATGAGGAGTTTCATAGGCAAGGTGGTATCGAGCAAGATGCAGAAGAGTGTGGTGGTGGCAGTGGACCGGTTCAAGTCATGCGCCCATCCCCATCCCTTCTCCCTTCCCTTTCCTTCCTCATCCAGCTACAGTGGGGCAACGCAAACACAGAGGTGCACACACACACAAGCCAGCCACAATGAGGAGTTTCATAGGCAAGGTGGTATCGAGCAAGATGCAGAAGAGCGTGGTGGTGGCGGTGGATCGGTTCAAGGCGCACAGCAAGTACCCCAAGGTGGTGCACTCCACCAAGAAGTTCATGGCTCATGATGAGAGCAACGAATGCGCCATGGGCGACCAGGTGAGGAGTGGATGGGCATGGGCATGGGCATGAGCATGAGCATGAGTACGGCATGGCGTGGCAGTGATTGAGGTGCAAGTACCCCCCTAAGCCAAGGTGGTGCATTCCACCAAGAAGTTCATGGCGCATGATGAGAGCAATGAATGCTCCATGGGCGACCAGGTGAGGAGGGCTAGAAGGGGCATGATACAAGCATGGGCATGAGCGGCATTGCGTGGCAGTGATCGAGGTCTCACTCACAGCAAGTACCCCCCACCCCAAGGTGGTGCATTCCACCAAGAAGTTCATGGCGCATGATGAGAGCAACACCTGCTCCATGGGCGACCAGGTGAGGAGTGGATGGATGCGCATGGGTATGGGCGTGGGTATGGGCATGGGTATGGGCATGGGTATGGGCATGGGTATGGGCGTGGGTATGGGCATGGGTATGGGCATGGGTATGGGCATGGGTATGGGCATGGGTATGGGCATGGGTATGGGCGTGGGTATGGGCATGGGTATGGGCATGGGTATGGGCGTGGGTATGGGCATGGGTATGGGCGTGGGTATGGGCGTGGGTATGGGCATGGGCATAAGCGTGAGGGCCCCTGCTGTTTCTTGCCCTTTTTGTCCTCCTGCCCTGCCTGTCCCCTTACCCTGCTCCGCTTGTCCACCATACCAGGTGCGCATCCAGTCATCGCGTCAGATTCTCTGCTCTAAGCTCTCCTGCCTGCCACTTCCTTTTGCCCTAACTATATGCTTCCCCTGCTGCCCTCACCCACCACCACAGGTGCGCATCGAGTCATCACGGCCCCTGAGCAAGCGCAAGCGCTGGGTGGTCACGTTTGAGTGGCTGTGTGCCAAGCTCCTCTGCTCGTCCTGCCTTCCCTCTTGCCCTGCCCCATGCTCCTCTCCTGCTCCCCTTACCCACCACCACAGGTGCGCATCGAGTCATCACGGCCACTGAGCAAGAGGTGGTCACAACATTAAATGTTATGTGCTCAGTTCTCTTATCTGCCTCTCCTCTTGCCCTGCGTCGTCCGCCTTCCCTGCTCCCCTTACCCACCATCAGGTGCGCATCGAGTCATCCCGGCCACTGAGCAAGCGCAAGCACTGGGTGGTCACAGAGGTTCTCCGCAAGGCGAGAATATTCAATATTGAGAACACCAAGAGACCAGCCGTTGCTGCTGCTGCTGCTGCTGCTGCTGCTGATGATGTTGGTGCTGCTGGTGCTGCTGCTGGTGATGGTCCGACCGCTGCTGCCATTCGTGCTGCCATGGCTGCTCAAACTGGGGCCACCCCTATTTCGTCCAATGCGCCATGATGTGCCTTGGCGGGAGCATGGTCGAAAATGTACATGTTTCTATTCTCGAAATTCAAGTTACATTCTCACAAGCAAGCATTCGGCTCTCAATCCCCAGTCACGCTACATAATGGTTGATGGCTGTATCGTTACTGGTTGGGATATGAAGCACAGCGATTTGCAACCAAGAAAACGAGTTTTCAAATTTAGAGCGCAGAGTTAGACATGGAGTGAAGGATTGTTTTGCCTGTGCCATGTGTGCTGCAATTGTATTGTACCCTTGGTTAGTATTGTGAAAGCTTGCTTATTGCAACTTGTAATAGGCATCGTGCTTCATTCCATCTGGGCATCGTGCTTCATTCCATCTAGGTAAGAGTACATCAATCTCGTCCAAAGGTCTACAACATACAATTTCACTACATAGGGTGGGAGGGTGGGGAACTCAAACTAAAAATCTGAAAAGAAGAACGTGTGTGAGGCCAAATGGCCTCCAACCCCTCTTTTGTAGCCAAAAGAGGGCGAGTAGCGATGCGACGCTGCCTTTGCTGCGTTGGCAATCGCTTCACTATCACAATACAAAATTTTAGAAAGTGAATACACTTTCAAAAATTATCATATTGTGAAAGCTTGCTTATTGCAACTTATAATAGGCATCGTGCTTCATTCCATCTGGGTCTGCTGAGACATGTGCAGAGGAGGACGGCGCTGTCGCTGGATAGACAGCTGATGCTGGTTGGAGGATGGGGCTCGTGTGGGGTCCTGGATCAGCCGGGATGCTGCAACGAGCTGGTCTTGAGCGATGGTGACGTAGAGCTCCTTCGCGGTGTCGCTGCGCCAGCGGCCTAGACGTTTGAACATTCGATCCGTGATCCCGACTCCGGCAGCTGTCGTTGCTGCACAAGTGCTTTGCGTCGAGCCCGATCTTGTGGAAGGCTTCCAAACACCAGTTCCGAAGAGTGGGGTATGAGGGAGATTTGTCTTGTGGTGTTGCCTTTGCGCCACGTGGGAAAACTCGGATGAGAGGGCCTTCGGTTGATGAGTCATAGCCGGCAATCTTGATGAATTTCTGGG